TCTTTCCAATCGGCTCATCTCTGTCAACAAGTCTGTCATTGACAAATTTAAGACTGCTCTGCTTAATGTTTTATGGTTCTTGTCATATTCCCAGAAACAGAACTTTAGAAACAAATTCACCTTTCTTGTTTACACTATGTAAGATTTTATGGTCGACAGATGTTTTGCTGTCAAAAAGTTTTGTCTCGAATATAGATAGCGAAATCGCTAGACATTTTCTAAAAGATAAAAATTTTAATTTTCTAAAAATATGTTAGAAAAAAAGTTTGCTGACATTGACAAGAAATTTGAGAATGTTTTAAACAAGAACAAGAGGAAGTTAGAAAATGCTCAGATAAAGCCTATACATGACAAGTTCTTATTTGCTCAGAATGGTATAACAGGTCTAATTGCACACCTGGGTCGGGTAAGACTTTCACTTATCTTAAATGGCTGCACAACAACAAGAACTAGATGAGAAGAACCCATTTCTATGAGTTAGTTGTCATTTGTAGTACTTCTGGTCAATTTGACCAAACCGTCAATTCGTTCAAAGATATTATAAGAAGTCTAAGTTAGTATGTATAAAGGATACTGAGTTGTTAGATTGGATAAAGAAGTACCAAAGAAGAGTTTTGAAGTATAATGCTATAAATGAGTATATAAATTCGAAGTTTAAAGACCAAATGAGGAAATGCAGAGAATATTAGAGAGAAACACTTCAGAAACAAACAGAAAGAGATAGAATACATTTCGAAGAAATTGCAATCTTACGATTGGAAGACTTACCCTCATAGATGTCTTCTTATCTTAGATGACTTTGCTTCTCATCCTTTGCTTAAGAATAGAGAACAAGATATGTGTCGAATTCTTAAGAAGCTCAGACACTTTAACATTTCAGTCGTAATATGTGTACAGACAGCAAAGAGTTTAAGTAAGGATGTTAAAAGAATACTTACTGACATTGTACTTTTCCCCGGATTGTCCGAAGACGATTTCATGGAACTTATGAAAGAGTCCATGGCAGGTAAGTTTGACAGATATGAACTATGGGAGAAGTACAAAGTCATACAAGACCCTCATACTTCTTTCAGAATTCATATCTACGCGAACAAAGTTCAAATTGTAAAAAGTCAAGCTTGAAAAATGTAAGTGTTTAGTCTTAGTAAGTCTGTTGTGGTGCTGGGGCTGTCGGTTCTTCTGGTTTGGGAAGGCATTCAGGAAGAGGAACGTCAGTCATCCGTTTGTGTCCTGTCGGAAGGAAAAACTTTTCCTGTTGGAAGGAAAAACTTTTCCTGTCGGAAGGAAAAATTTTTTCTGTTGGAAGGAAGAACTTTTCCTGAAGTTCGACCAAAAAGTTCTCAATTTTCGAAAATTTGAATGGTTTACGGACGGACAACTGGAAAATTTTTTCTTGTCGTCGGGAAAAATTTTTTCTGTCGGAAGGAAAAACTTTTTCTGTCGGAAGGAAGAAACTTTCTTGTCGGAAGGAAGGACTCGGAATGCCAGAAGGATTTGACAAGGCAATTTACTTTATAGAGCTACCTGAGCCATCTGAAGTCAAGCTTGAAAAATAAATGGTTCATCTACTCTACTTGTTTGAAGTTGTCAAAATACTCTGTTATTTTTTCCTTTAACAATGGCAAATCTTCTTTGAAGGTAAGTATTGTACAACCTTTAATATCATAGTGTGTTTGAGGTAACGTATCTTGAACTATTTGTTTCACATCTCATTCGGTGTCATTGAATCGGTAAGTTTTCGCGATAGAACAATTTCTGTCAGATTTGTAAATCTTAGCAAGGTCGTAAAAGCTTTTGTTGTTTCTTCTGACTAAATGCAACATAACCATATCTTTATCTTCTTCATTTTCCATCTCTTCAGTATAAATCATATACTTATAGTTCTTTTCCTTACCTTTTGGTACCGAACGTGTATTCTTTTCTGAATGTTTTTGTCTTTTGCTTCAATGACTTCATCTTTTGCTTGAAGTTTCTTTTCCATCTCTTCACGTTCTTGTCTATGAATTTCGTCAAGAAGTCTGTAAACATGCCATGCATAACGAGGAGAAGCCCACATTGCAACTGCATTTACTAAAAGTCTATGTACATAATATCCTCTTAAATTTATTGGCAAATTTTTACGATTTTCATGTGTTTTATGCAAAACCGAAAAAAGTCGGTCTAGAGAAATTTCACTCAAAAGTTCTTGTGTGCTTTGGTTTTTGAACCAGTCGTCTGCGTGTTTAGTGTCTGGAGCAAAACATGCTGTCAAAATACTTTGCATTTGGTACATATCGTCTTTGACCGAACGAATGAGACGGAGTTGTTTGTTAAACTGAACCCACTCGTATTCTTCATTTATGGCTTCATGAACGATAGCAGTTGTTGTGTTCTCTGATGTTGACATATCTGTCCTTACATACAAAATAAAAAAATAAATAAAAATAAAACTAACTTTATTTTTTCTATCTTAAGGAAATTCATGATTTTCATAGAGTTTTGGCGACCCCGAAGGAAGTCGGTCTCGCTGTTCTTCATGATTTTCATACGGAATCTCTATCCTCGGTTTTTCGAGGGTAGCAATCTTATGCCATTTTACTCAGATTTTCATACGGAATTCAGCAAAAATATATTTTAGGTGAAGAGGTGCGATCTCACCTGTTTTTTCACCTGTTTTTTCACAAGCGTTTTACATGGTAAACGTTATTTTTACATGTATTTTTCAGCAACTTCGTCAAATAATTTTATAGCTTTATCTATCTCATCTACTTCAAACGTTTCTTTACCTTTCGTGGGAGCACCATACATTTTCTCAACTTTTCAAGTAGTTCTGTTTCAGCAGCTCTTCATATCGTTAACGAACACAACCTTGACTATATTGACTGTACTGTCATATCTTTGAGTTATATTATATGTTCTTCCTATCTTATATCTCTTTGTATTGAAGTCCTTCGGTTTCTGACGATGTAAAAGTAAGCCTTCACTGCAACGTTCCGTATCGAATGAACCATATGTTATGAAGTTATATCCAACAACTGGGTCTAACCATAACAAAACTATTGGTATAAGACTTTTGTCGATGAGATATGCTGCAGTTCCATAGAATTTTACCGATATCATAAGCTCAGGATTTCTTGTCAAAATTTTCTGAGTTGAAGCAATTCTAACCCAGTCCTTTGTTTTCTTTCAGATGGAGATAAATGTCTGACAAAGAATATTTGTTGTATTTCTTTGAGTATCTTACGTTTAAATCACCTATTCTAACCAATTTGGTGTCATTGTCTATCTTTTTAACTGTTTCAAACTCAATGTTTGTCATATATGTTCTTACATACAAAATAAAAAAATAAATAAAAATAAAACTAACTTTATTTTTTCTGTCTTGTATAAAAGATATGATTTCAGGGATTTTTTTGACGAAGTGTCAAAGTTCACTTCGTCAAAAAATAACAGTTATATAATGAAATTTGGTCATTTTTTTCAGCAAAAATATATTTTAGGGTAGAAGGTTAGATCTAACCTGTTCTCTACCCTCTTTTCTACCCTCTTGAATTTTCATGATTTCATCGTACATGTTTTGTCAAGACTTCATCGTACATGTTTTGTCAAGACTTCTTCGTACATGTTTTGTCAAGACTTCTTCGTACATGTTTTGTCAAGACTTCTTCGTAAATGTTTTGTCAAGACTTCTTCGTAAATGTTTTGTCAAGACTTCTTCGTAAATGTTTTGTCAAGACTTCATCGTAAATGTTTTGTCAAGACTTCATCGTACATGTTTTGTCAAGACTTCATCGTAATGAGCGTAAATCAGACAAAAATATATTTTAGGGTAGAAGGTTAGATCTAACCTGTTCTCTACCCTCTTTTCTACCCTCTTGAATTTTCATGATTTCTTCGTAAATGTTTTGTCAAGACTTCTTCGTAATGAGCGTAAATCAGACAAAAATATATTTTAGGGTAGAAGGTTAGATCTAACCTCTTTTCTAACCTCTTTTCTACCCTCTTGAATTTGTCATGATTTCATCGTACATGTTTTGTCAAGACTTCATCGTACATGTTTTGTCATGATTTCATCGTACATGTTTTGTCAAGACTTCATCGTACATGTTTTGTCATGATTTCATCGTACATGTTTTGTCAAGACTTCATCGTACATGTTTTGTCATGATTTCATCGTACATGTTTTGTCAAGACTTCATCGTAATGAGTGTAAATCAGACAAAAATATATTTTAGGGTAGAAGGTTAGATCTAACCTCTTTTCTAACCTCTTTTCTACCCTCTTGAATTTGTCATGATTTCATCGTACATGTTTTGTCAAGACTTCATCGTAATGAGCGTAAATCAGACAAAAATATATTTTAGGGTAGAAGGTTAGATCTAACCTGTTCTCTACCCTCTTTTCTACCCTCTTGAATTTTCATGATTTCATCGTACATGTTTTGTCAAGACTTCATCGTACATGTTTTGTCAAGACTTCTTCGTACATGTTTTGTCAAGACTTCTTCGTAATGAGCGTAAATCAGACAAAAATAATGTTTATGTTAGAATGTTAGATCTAACATGTTTTCTAACACGTTTTCTAACATGGTCTAAAACACACAAAACTCATGAAATTTCATACGGAATTCAGCAAAAATAATGTTTAGGGTAGAAGGTTAGATCTAACCTGTTTTTTCACCTGTTTTTTCACAAGCGTTTTACATGGTATATGTTGCGATGGTTCATGACTTTAAACAGTTTTGTAGCTTCTATTTCTTCTTTTAGTACATCGAATGTTTTAACTATGCCGAAAGTTTCTTTATACTTCTTCTTGACGTCAGATAGAAGGAAATCGTCAGCAGTTGGATAGTTTTTGTTCAGAAATGTCAACATGTCCATTTTATCTTCTGCTGGCTTTTCTGCTTCTTTCTTTAAGTCTGCATAGTCGTTTCTCATTCTTTCTATCTCTTTGACGGAGTAGTTATATTTCCTAATTGCCGCTTTACATTTTGAACATTGCGGGTTCATTTTTGCGTTATATTCTGAAACCTTACCTGCTAAAACAACTAAAGAGTCAATGGTTTTCTTTAAATCTGAAGCAGTTGGTTTTATTTGTTTGTTCCATACCTTACCTCTTCTATCTTTATCTCTTATCTGCCATACACATTCAGCAACTAACGAAACAAAGTTGTCGTAGGTCTTAAATTCTTCAGATTTATATATGTCAGAAACATTCTTATATACCATGTCGCAATCTTTGTCCATAACCTTATGGTTGCAATGAAATCCTAGAAACTCATAGTTTACCTTACGAATGAACTTCTTTATTTCTACTGAGTCAGTTGCTTTGACTTCAATTTCGTCAAATTCAGGAATGGTTAGTTTTTGTTGCTGAATTTCAGGCAATTTGGGTAAATGGTCAATAATGTCCTGCATTTCATAAAGATACTGTTCATTTTGTTCATCTTTCGCACTACAGTCTAAATTACATGTTAAAAGTTCTTGCTTTATCTTCTGGATTTCTGTTTCAAAAGTATATGAAGAAGGAATGAAGCTTTTCATTTCTACTAACATTGACGTAGGATTCATGACTAACGAGTTTGGTGCTGTTGTTTGAAGTGTTGTAGAACCTATTGTTGAAATCATATCTTTTATACAAAATAAAAAAAAATAAAAAAATAAAACTAACTTTATTTTTTATTTCGGGAAAATTCATGAAAATTCAAGAGGTTAGAAAACAGGTTAGAAAACAGGTTAGATCTAACCTTCTACCCTAAAATATATTTTTGGGTCCTTTACACTCATTACGAAGAAGTCTTGACAAAACATTTACGAAGAAGTCATGAAAATTCAAGAGGTTAGAAAACAGGTTAGAAAACAGGTTAGATCTAACCTTCTACCCTAAAATATATTTTTGGGTCCTTTACACTCATTACGAAGAAGTCTTGACAAAACATTTACGAAGAAGTCATGAAAATTCAAGAGGTTAGAAAACAGGTTAGAAAACAGGTTAGATCTAACCTTCTACCCTAAAATATATTTTTGGTGTAAATTTCATGATTTTCGAGAGTTTTAGACCATGTTAGAAAACAGGTTAGAAAACAGGTTAGATCTAACCTTCTACCCTAAAATATATTTTTGCTGAATTCAATAAAAATAAATGGTTCATTTTACTCACAATATTTTTGTACAAAACGACCCCAAACTTTTAACTTCTTTTCTGCAGCTTCAAATGCTATCTTAGCGAGTTCATATTCTCTAAATTCTCTCTTTAAATCTTCTTGTTCCCATTGGTCTAGTTCGTATGGAGAATTTCTATAACCATAACATATCTCACGTTCATGTTCTAATTGTTTTTCGCACATTTTTCCAACTTCTTCTTCAAACAAAGGTTTAGCATTCTCTACTGTATCTTCGAGTTCTTCTTCATCTAACTTCTCATGAACTTTCTTGTCTATGGAATCCATAATTTTTCCAACTGCTATGCAATATTTTGGAGAAGCCCACATTGTTATATAGTTTATAAGTCTTGGGTCTACATACGTTCCTCTAACCTGTCTGATTTCATCAGGAATTCCTGCATGAATTTTGTATAAAAACCAACCGCCGGAATTCCGGCGGTTGCTATATTCTTCACAAAATGCCTTATAATACTCTTCCCAGGACTTATTTTCCAACAACTTTCTAAAGTCTTTCCTAAACTGCTGACACATATTTGTTGCATTTATATAACCATCCTTGTCTCTACGTAAGACTTCAATACCGTTATAAGTGCCTTTTGTGAATGTTTCGCCATTAGATTTGTTCGTGAACGTTTTTGCTTCGACTGACATATCTGTTCTTACATACAAAATAAAAAAATAAATAAAAATAAAACTAACTTTATTTTTTTATTTCGGGAAAATTCATGAAAATTCAAGAGGGTAGAAATGAGGTTAGAAAACATTTACGAAGAAGTCATGACAAAGCATATACGAAGAAGTCTTGACAAAACATTTACGAAGAAGTCATGACAAAGCATATACGAAGAAGTCTTGACAAAGCATATACGAAGAAGTCTTGACAAAACATTTACGAAGAAGTCATGACAAAGCATATACGAAGAAGTCTTGACACTTTTTCATTAGATAACTGTTATTTTTTGACGAAGTGAAGATTGACACTTCGTCAAAAAAATCCCTGAAATCATATCTTACATACAAAATAAAAAAATAAAACTAACTTTTTCATTAGATAACTGTTATTTTTTGACGAAGTGAAGATTGACACTTCGTCAAAAAAATCCCTGAAATCATATCTTACATACAAAAAATACAAAATAAAACTAACTTTATTTTTTCTATCTTAAGGAAATTCATGAAAATTCAAGAGGTGAAAAAAGAGGTGAAAAAACAGGTGAGATCGCACCACTTCACCTAAACATTATTTTTGGGTCCTTTACACTCATTACGATGAAATCATGACAAAGCATGTACGTTCATGTTTGACAAAACATTTACGAAGAAGTCTTGACAAAACATTTACGAAGAAGTCTTGACAAAACATTTACGTTCATGTTTGACAAAGCATGTACGATGAAGTTTCGACAAAACATTTACGAAGAAGTCATGACAAAACATGTACGAAGAAGTCATGAAAATTCAAGAGGGTGAAAAAAAATGACACTTTTTCATTAGATAACTGTTATTTTTTGACGAAGTGAACATTGACACTTCGTCAAAAAAATCCCTGAAATCATATCTTACATACAAAAAATACAAAAAAATGACACTTTTTCATTAGATAACTGTTATTTTTTGACGAAGTGAAGATTGACACTTCGTCAAAAAAATCCCTGAAATCATATCTAACATACAAAATAAAAAAATAAAACTAACTTTATTTTTTCTATCTTAAGGAAATTCATGAAAATTCAAGAGGGTAGAAAACAGGTTAGAAAACAGGTTAGATCTAACCTTCTACCCTAAAATATATTTTTGGGTCCTTTACACTCATTACGAAGAAGTCTTGACAAAACATTTACGAAGAAGTCATGAAAATTCAAGAGGTTAGAAAACAGGTTAGAAAACAGGTTAGATCTAACCTTCTACCCTAAAATATATTTTTGGGTCCTTTACACTCATTACGAAGAAGTCATGACAAAACATTTACGAAGAAGTCTTGACAAAACATGTACGATGAAGTCTTGACAAAACATGTACGATGAAGTCTTGACAAAACATTTACGAAGAAGTCATGACAAATTCATGAGGTTAGAAAAAATGTTAGAAAACGTGTTAGATCTAACATGCTAACATAAACATTATTTTTCAATACTTTTTCAGCACTTTTCCGTAGTTATATATGAAAGACAATTCGAGATAAAAGTCATAGTACAATGGAATAATATGTTGCACACCATTTGTTGTGAACCAAACTTGAAAGTCAGAGAAACTGTTACTAGGTGGTTCGTAGAATTTAGAAGCAAAGTCATAAAAGTCCTTACCAATACATAGAAAACTATTGTTGCTTGAACTGAAACTTGCATGACACATAACATTTTGAGGGTCAAACACGTTTCTATAAACTGTCAAATCTGCTGGTGGAAGTATAAATTTAAATGGACCATCTGGTGGTAATGGTTCGTTCTGGTTTAGTAACCGAAGAAATTGTGCCCAAGAACGTTTGTCTACTTTCCAAAATAAAAACTCTGTATCTCTTGGAGGGTTAATTTCAATCTTTTGAAATGAAACGGTGGAGTTCATCTTGTCATATTCTAGTTTCAGATAGTATGTTCCATTTAGTAAAGAGTCGTATTTTTCTTGAAATTCCCAATAATATTTGTTCATTTGAGTTTGAAAGTCATTTAGAGTTTTCTCAAGACTTTCGTCTGAACGAACTGTAAAGATTCTCATTTCGTCAAATTTGTCTATTAGACCATCAGAACCTTTATACTGCCCATGAAAATATACTGCGAACATAAATGCGTTAGTTCTATTTGAAAACAAAACTCTTCTAAATCCTATTGCCTTTGCATCTGAAGGACTTTGAAGCCAACGAATTGGATAGTCAAACCTGTATACTCGGGATGAAATTTCTTCATCTGAAATAGTCCTACCAGCATTTGTAAAGATATAGTCTAACGGTTTTGTATCTGCTACTTTTGTTCTTTGTTTTTCAACCTGAAGCATTTAATATATGTAAAAATATATTGTTTTAAAATGGTATGCCATTTCATATTTCTCATCTAACAAACAAGTTTCCCAACGGTCTTCTCCAACAAACTCAGCGTACATTTCAAATAAAATAAAAAAAATGTCACTTTTTTAAAAATAATTTTTTATTTCATGCAATGTTCACTAACATCGAAAGGCATGTCCATAAGACGTTCTTCTTCTAACCTCTCTAGTCTGTTTGGATAATTTGCACGTGCTGTTTCCAAATCCATTTCGTAGCGAAGACCAGACAATTTGTCATAGACTTTTATGGGTCTTCCCTTCCTATATTTAAACTTCTTCGAAACTCTCCAACCATATCTTTGTAACTCTGCTTTTATTCTAGCAGATTTTCTATCCATTCTATATGGGGGCATTTTTATAAAAAGAAAAAAAAATTTTTTTTTCTTTACTTTACATAACCGCCTGCTGCCATAAGTCTTTGACGCCAACCCATACCAGCTAATGAAGGTTGACTTGGTTTAGTTTCCAAACTAAACTTTGGTTTTGGTTTATCTTCAGTTTTTGGTTTTTCTTCTTCTATCGGTTTTTCGTCACTTTTCGGTTTCTCTGACTTTACTTCACTTGCAGGAACAGTTGTGTCGTCAACATCTTCATAAATATCATATGCCATTTGTTTTTGTTTTCCTTTCAACTTTTTGTGTTTGTTGTAAAGTTTAGAATATTTCGACTCTAAGTCAATGAGATGTTCTATAATGAACTGTTGGTCAGTGAAGTAAACTTTTCCATCTGTTGTCTCGAAAGCTCCTTCAGACTTCAATATTTTATTTGTGAGAGTCTGTTTCTTTTTTGAGATACTTGCCGTTCCATTTTTATGAAAAGTGACTTTGTAGTTAGGGTTTGTATTTCCAGACCTGGCACTTTCTATTATTGAATTTTTCTCTTCATCTGTAAGTTCTTTGACAGGTTTTGACAATGGTTCTGAACTTTTTGTTTGGTGTCAAATCTACCGTTTCAACTTCTTCGGTCATTTCATCTCAGTAAAAAAATTTAGTTTGGTTTTTTTCAACTGTTGTTGTTGTTTTTTAAGTCGGTCTAAAACTTCCTGAGGTATAGGAAGAACTTGACAAACACGTTGTGTAACTGCTGGAAGTCGACAAATCCATCTTGAACCCATTTGTCTCAATGCTGTATTGTTCATTTCATCTCAGTAAAAAACTTTACATTCCCCACGTTTGAGGCGGTTGAGGTTGGTTATTGTTTACCCATTGTTGTGCATGGTTATATCCTCTGTTAAAGAATCTTTCACCTTGGTCCATATAGTGTCCTGCTTGGTTATAGTAGTCATTTGCTTTGTTATAATAGTTTCCTGCTTGTCTTCCTACATTGTCCATCCATCCTTGAACTTTTCCTCTTGTTTCAGGATTTGGAATAAGATTTGTTGCATCTCGTGCTACCTCCCAACCTTTCTGTACAGTTTGTATAATAGGTTGTGCTTTCTCTTTAAGTATACCTAATGTACTCAAAATCTTCCTTCCAACTCCAAATACACCTCTGGCTATTGTTCCCACTGCGGGCAAAAATCTGGATGCAACTCCTGCTAATGCGCCAAATAAACCCATTTCTTATAGGATAAAAAATGACGAATCCAAACAAGGACCCCTATGTTTCTAAAGCGACAAAGAAAGCACTCATGATAAAAATCTTTAGTTCAACACCAAATGCTTGGTTTATGGATATCTTGGAAAACATTCCGAGGTATAGAGAAGATGGACCACCATACTGGCTAATATTTGTCGGTCAAAACACAAGATACTGTGAAGCCATACCATTACAGTCCAAAAATATTTTAGATATCTTAGCAGCTTTGACAATATTCGTTGACAAATACCATCCAACAAAACTGACATCTGACTGTGAAAGTTCTTTCAAATCAGATGATGTAAAAAACTATCTGCGTTCAAAAAATGTAAACCAATATTTCATTGTCGACCAAAACCATTCTGCTCTTGGTGTCATTGACGGTTGTATAAAAATGTTAAGAGACTTAAACCAACCACAAGGTGGTGAAGCAAATGAAATGTCATATGACGACAAATATAGACACTTCTCCATGGCAAAGATGAGACAAGTTTTAAATATTTACAACAACCGTAAACAAAAAGGTTGGGAAACCACTCCCCCGAAGAAATGAAAAACAACCCTGACTTAGAGAAAGACTATATATTTAATAATTTATTCAAAAGAGACAAACAAGAAAGAATGCCGGGCTTCAAACTTCAGAAAGGTGACAAAGTAAAAATAGAAATACCTAAACGCGACCCATATGAAAATACTATTGACTATGACAACAATGGGAACCCGACAGGTACTCACATTCGTGTTCGTAAAAATAGAAGAAAGTATACAAGAGAATATTATGAAGTTTTAGGCAAACATGGCAAAATGTACACACTGCAAGCAGAAGATAAAACTACTATTGTCAGACCTCGTTTCAAACTTGTCAAAGTTCAAGGTGGTATACTTTCAAAGACAGTTCCTAACAAATATAAGACAACTCCTGACGAATATGCTAAAGAAGTTGAAAATGACGACTAAGCATTTCTATACCATGCGTAAACTGTCATGTAAGGTGGCATGTAGTCTTTACTTTGTCCCGTTGTTTGTGTATATCCCGAAACGCGATGTGTATGGTTTCCATCTCCCTGAGTGTTACCCCAGAAACAATTTATAGCAAACTGAACGTCGTCTTTAACATCATATCCTTTACCTTTTTTCATTGCTGACCAATCCCAAAAATTATGCTTATGCCAACCTGCTTGAGATGTACTTAAATCTATGTAGTGACTATGTGCAGGTAAATTTTCACCTGAAATCGTTTTACTTCCCCCTGTTTCCTTTGAAGAGTTTGCACAATACAAAAACCTGTCGACTATTTGAGTCCAAGTTCCAAAACCCAGAACTGTTTCTGGATTTGTTGAGTTCATTGACGTATAAATAGAGCCTATAGGATATAATGTTTGAAGCATTTCTGTCTTTAATGTTTGAAGCTCTGTTTTGTCTGCTTTCTTGTCATATAAATCTTGAGCAGTGAATTTAATATTATGTTCATCCTTCATGACATAAACATCTTTACATCTAATGTTTCTCATCGTCGTTATGTCGTCATCCGATGTTAAACCTTGTGGAAAGTTAGGAGGTTTACAATATATTGCATCCCCACCAGTTTCTTCAACCGTTCCTTCAATACTTTCTATAGCAACAGTTGTAAAACTTGTATGTGTATGGTTCTTGTCTGCTTTCTTCTCTAACTCATCGTTAACATAAGTTTTATCTGCTTTAAGGTCTAAACATCCTGAAACCCATCCTGTATCGGCTTTAACTTTAAAAGTCTTCGATGTCCATTCATGGTACCAGTCAACCCTTTCTTTCATTTCGTTATCTTTTTCATCCACATATTCCTTATCCGCTTTCTTCTCTAACTTACTAGCCACATATTCCTTATCTGCTTTCTTTTCAAGGCTAACGTTTAAGTCTGTTATTTCAGATATAGAATGTGTATGAGTCTTTTTAGAATATTCGTTTTCAGCTCTCGTCACTTCACTTGACATTTTATTGTCAACATATGTTTTGTCTGCTAGTTCAGGATGAGTATGTTCTTTTGTTGCATAAGCATTGTTAGCTCTTTCTTCTTCTTTTGCTATTGCATCGTCTACATATTCTTTGTCAGCTTTGTTGTCAACATCTGTTTTCAAAAGAAGTTCATTTATAGGTTTCTCGTTTAAAGTTCCTTTTGTTGGATTTATACAGACAGTATGGTTCTTATTGTCTTGAAACAGAAACTCATCTGTCATTGGGTTTAATGTCAGTTTTAAGTTTCCTTCTTTCAATGACTCAGATATCTTAGAATAGTTTGAAAAGTTTGTTGTGTTCTTATTTAGAGCTTGCATAATGAGTTGTCGGTTGTGTTGTATTTCTCTCATGGAAGCAATATCTTTCGACATTTTTATTCTAGATAAAATATGCTTTCAATAGAAAAAGAAAATTCAAGAGTTGCTACAACTAAACCATTAGATGAACTTTTTACTAATGTCGGTCAAAAGTTTGAGACAGAGACCGTAAAGCATGAAGGCTATCGTTTTGACTACCCATTAAGATGGCTAAGAGACCCATCTGTCACAAAAGCTATTGGCTTTCGTAGAATGAAGTTCATTTCAGAAGCCATACATGGTTTCCCATTTACGGTCGGGTTTGAAGTTCGATACTATAACAAAGAAAAACGTATGTATGAGAAATTTGAACAGGGAAAACTTTTACAAGTTAGTTTGCTTGTAAACTTAGAAACAACTCTTCAAGCTTTTCAAGAAAAAATAAACGATATCTATATCGAATATGCAAACCAGTATAACATTGACGAGGGAGAGTACCATCTCGATATTATTTATGACAGGAAAAATGCAACTGTTAAAATCAATAAAATAGAAGACCTTGGAGAAAACGTTTATATTTCTACAAAATATAACAACTTGGCATGGTATAGATTTATGAGGATGTTAAATCAGCCTGCAGCATATCCAGTACACCCAGACTTTTATGAAGTCGAAAACCCTAATGGAACATATGAAAATGTTTTCGACCAAGATGCTATTATTGTTCATGCTTCATTTTCTGGCGCCCAAAACTCTTTCTTATGCTTGGCAAATGACTTTTACGAAAAACCTACAAAGTTATACGAACCACCAAGTGGAAGTATTTCAGACTTTCAAGTATGGTTTACTACAGATGGAAGAAAAAGAATAATTCCATTATACCATGCGTTTTACTTAGAACTTAGTTTCATATACAACTACTATCGAACGGTAAAAATATAATTTTTTAATATACCGGTTGTGGTGTTGGATTTGGTTGCCAACTAGACTGTGGTGCAGGTTCAGGCTGTTGTATAACAGGAGCTTGCTCTTCTGGTTCAGGGTCTTTAGGTATAATACCAACAAACTGACCTACCCTTTTACCAATATTTTTGACACCGTTCCAAATTCCTCTTCCTACGGTTTTTATTCCATTCCATATACCTCTTCCAACATTTCGAAAGAAGTTTCCTATCTTACTGAAGAAACCCATTTTACTATATGTAAAAATCTAATGTCCGCCTAGTCTTTTGCGTTTCCTGTTGAGTTCCATAGCATTCTTTAACTGGAGCTCATACATTCTGTTTCTCCTCTGGTAGAAAACATATTCTGGGTCAACTCCTGTGTTCGCGTCATCTGCATAAAGTTGTTTATATCCCACTTCAGGGTTTGTATAAAACTCTTTCCATCTCATATTTGCATACCATGGTGGCAAACCTAACGCAGCGTCATTTGACATGGCAGTTTGCATTTGTACATCTGTTGGCACTTGACCATAGTTTGCCATTGCAGTTTGTATTCTAACTTCATTTGGAATATTCTCTGGGTTTGGTTGTCCAGGTTGCTGTGCATTCGCTAAGTTCTGTGCGTCCATTTAATATTAGATAAAAATATCTCTTACGAGTACATATGCTGAACATTTGCAGGCATTGGTTCATCTTCATATTCTCTGTACTTTTCTGCCACGTCAAATAAATAAATGACACAATGGAAAAAACCTAAAACAAGTAGTCCTATTTCAAACCACATTTACTTACTAATAAAATTTCTTTATTGTGACACTTTCTCCAGTTTATAGGACCTCTCTCATATTCTATCTTGTCATATCTAAACTCATAGTCATGTATGTCCTCTAACCATCTCATAACGGTTTCCAAACCACTTTTATCGGATGTAAAGTAAAAGCATGGATGGTTATGTATAACGTCTAAAGTTTCTAAAGAGTCTCTCAAAGTCCAGTCTACTTGGTATTGAAAATCCCATGTGTTAAAGAACGGCGGGTCCACTATAAAGAAAACATTTTCCTTGTCTTTATATTTTTCATACAACTCTGTCCAATGACATCTCACAAACTCTATACCCTCAATATATTTTTCTATGTCCTCTTTGAAAACATTTGTATAGTTAAGATATAAAACTTTTGACATAAGTGTTTCAATGTCATGAACTCTTATAGCACCACTATATAATAGTCTAGCAGATATACTATCCCAGTCTATATATTCTGCTTTTTTCAAAACCTCTCTCACAATATTTTTCTTATCTAATGGTATACGTTCCATCTTACCTATAGGTATCTTTTCTTTTAACTCTTTCAATATATTGTTTGTGTCTGGTATATGTTTGAGACGGTCCATATAGTTGTCGAAGTCATTGCATATAATCTTTGAGTCTGGGAATATTGTATGACATAAATGGGATATATAGAAACTTCCACCGAACAAATCTACAAATGTTAGACCATTCGGTAGTTTCTTAAGTTCTCTCAATATAATATCTTTACATTTACCCTTATTTCCAAAGAACGGTAACGGTGGTTTTGTAAAATTCATTTATATATAATAATAAAAATGTTTTTCCTGAAAAGTGACAGAAAAGTGACAAAGCATGAAAACATATATAATTTGTGAAAAGCGACACATTATATAATGTTTTCGACCCAGAAGAAGGCTTCTTCCCAGAAGCAATGGAGGAAGAAGAAGAGTCCTCCGAATTCACACCAGAAGACTAAGAATTTTCCGAATAAAAACTTCATTTATACTAAACATCTTCGGGGCTAGAGGGCACGAAGTGCCTGGAAGCCCCACTACCTTTTTTTTTTTTTTTTTCTATTTTTAATAAAATAAACATATATTTATATGGGAAATTAGGGAGATCTGAAACTCAAAAATTATTTTTGAATTTTAATATGATAAATATAATTGTGATAATATGTACATTACAAATAAAATATTAATTCGGAACAACGATGAGATGTGATAAATTTGATTCTCTCAAAAATCGATTTTGGAGTTTTAATATTAATTTGTATCTTATATGCATATAGGATATATAATAATTTTAAAACATCAAAAAGTGATAATTTGCGGTTAGAAAAAGTCATCAAAACACTTTTTAATGATTTGATTTAACATATGCATAGACCATCTCTTTGATATTTAACTTCAATTTCCCGAAATGAAAAGGATTTGAACAAAAACGATTATTTTACGATCATTTTTTGTAAATTTTTTTAAATTGAGACTGGCATCTCTAAAATCTTCTAAAAAATCCAAATATCAAATAAAATAATATTATTAAAATTCCTCTCAATTTAAAAAATTTTATAAATTGAGAATTCAATCTCTAAAATCTTCTAAAAAATCCAAATATCAAATAAAATAATATTATTAAAATTCCTCTCAATTTAAAAAAATTTTATAAATTGAGAATTCAATCTCTCAAATCTTCTAAAAAATCCATATATCACAAAAACTCACAATATTATTTTTATTCTCAATTTCAAAATTTTTTTTGTACTGACTTTCTTTTTGCCTAACAGCAAGGCAGAAATTTGAAACGAAGTTTCAAATTTCTCAATCTTGCATTCTGGGCACGTAAGTGCCCAGAATGCTAAAAGGCGCGTAGCGCCGTCTCTGAATATCAAATTTATTATAATTATTATTAATTTATGAAATTTCAAATAAAATCGATCTGTTATAACACACTGGTGCATGCCAGCCTTGTCATTCATCTATCGGCGCGCAGAGCGCGCCGATAGATGATATATATATATAGAAGATTAATCGACATTTTTTCACAAGTAGTGTAACAATCAAAAACCATTTTTAAATATCTATTTTTTAAGACTTAGTTTTGATAGTTTTCACTCAAAAATTTTCATCATATTTAAAATAATATCATATTATTAATCTGAGCTATTTGATTGGCGCTTTGCGCCAATCAAATAGCGAAGAAAATAACTTTTCAAATTATTTAATAATTTTTTATTATCAAAAGTCAAAATCAATCTGATATCATTACGTTACATCTGATTGCAAATCGTAATTCGTTGAAATAAGTTTGCCGAACAAACAACCAAAGTTGTTCTCAAAATATAATTAGCGGCGTGAAGCGCCGCTTCCCAAACGATATGCAAAGAGTTTTTGAAAAATTGAGAGAAATATTGTTTTTTCATTTCACATTTTCATCTTTTCTTAACCAGACTTTCGCACAAACTTCTAATGTATCACATTGATCTAATGCATCATTGGTGTTCCATAATACCTTAAATGATTCACAATATGCCCATTTGGTTACAGATGAATTTTGAAAATTCTAAAATTCTAGATTTTCGTCTATAACAAGTTCTTTGTCATCACATGCCTAATTAATCTTTAACTTTAGAGCTCCTCAATATCCTTACAAATTACATAATTTCCGAAATACTTTCTCAAAAAATATCTATGATCGCATAGATATCAGATTACAATAAGACTATTAATGTTTCAAATACATTACAACCGTTTGCTATAGCTAAGACATTTTCTTCATTTATGAACATGACTTCAGCTCTAATTTTGCCAAGTAACAAGCTGATCTAATATCTTATCGAAGTGTATTCATTTCACAACAAATTCTTAATAAATGCTTTGCTTTCAATATTTCTTTCGAAAAATCGCTAAAATCTCAAAGTATTCTCTAAACCACTTCGATGGATATAAAAATCTCTGGTATGTTTTACATAATAATCTTTGAAATATAATATTAATCGCACAAATTCAAATTTAATTGTATAAACTCATTTCCTATAATCATAATATATTTATGTTGCTGAAGTTGGCTGCGCTTGCCCGAAGGGCATGCCTAGCCAACTGAAGCCCGAAATTATATTATATCAAATTTGATTTTTTTACCTAAAGAATTGTTGCAAGTATATACATCCACGCTACAGATCATTAAACTTTATTTATTTCATTCTGACAAAAAGCTTCATGACATGCTTGTCCCAGATTTTGGGTTTATCAACCAGAAACTGCCACCTTAAACGATGGATATAGGGTTTTTAATATATCACAATATTATTTTTCTACTTATTTTTTAAAAAAGTTCAAAATTGAGAGTGGAATCACTTCTCCTTTTGTAAAGAAAAATTTTAATGAGCGCAGAGATTCAACAAAATTTTGAATACATTGGGTCTCAACTCGAAGATTTTATTGACGACAATAATCTTGAAGTAGTTAAATATCTTATTACTGCTGGAGCTGATATGGGATCAATATAGTTTGAAATGGACTCCACTCACATATGCATTAGTAGAAGGTCATCTTGAAGTTGTTAAATATCTTATATCTGTTGGAGCAGATATAGAGTCAAGGAATTCTGGAAAATCTACTCCACTCATCGTTGCATCAGTCAATGATAAGCTTGAAATTGTCAAATATCTTATTTCGGTCGGAGCAGATATAGAGGCAAAGAATAATTATGGAAATACTCCACTCATTTGTGCATCATCAAAAGGTTATCTTGAAATTGTCAAATATCTTATTTCTGTCTTAGCAGAGAACGATGCAATGAATTATAATGGAGATACTCCACTTTCAATTGCAGAATACACTCACACAGAATGTGTTTAGTCTTGAGTAATTAGAATACAATGTTGTTTCAATATCATATTTTAATGCAATCCTTCAATAAAATATTTAATTGATTTCGTGGTCATTATATTTATGATACCTTATGAGAACTTTAGGGGCATCATCTATTGAAATTGGAAGTTAAATTTATATGCAACATAATAAAAGCAAGATTCACTGAGTTGATATCAAGAAATTTATATTAAAATTTTACAATCAAATAACAAAACGAAAGAAAATGTATGAAAATTATGTATACGGTTTTTAATTTATTAGATGTGATTAAATATCAAACAATTTGAGTATAGAATACTTCGGAATATATAACAATTACTGATTTCGAAGAACATTTCAGATATTTATATCAAAAAAGTATGTGAACAACTATTGTCATAACATTTTGATCGGAAAATATTAATATTGTCATTATTTGGCCAAAGAAATAAGTAATTTTTCTGAATATGATTGCTAAATGATGCTAAAATGTCACGCTTTTGAATCAGAGGTGTTAATATCTAATTTTTTCTTGGGGTAAAGTTTCTCGAGTTGTTCCTCTCTAAATTTATCAACCCGCGTTTTGATTTGATCTTCTGGAATATTTTGTTCGCGCAATTTCTTCCTGAGCAAATAACATTCTGTCTCTATTTTAACTCTACTTTCGTGGTCTTTTAATGCATCTGATTTTTGGAAAGAATTGTTGAGTGGCTTTGGTTTAATTTTCTTATCATAGTTGATTACCGCTAAACTATCCTGAACATGGCCACTTGTTCCTGTTCCTCTTGGGGTTCGAACTCCAACACCATTATACATTCTTTAAAAAAATGACATCAAAATAAATGCGACTACTTATAAGAATAATTAGCACATGCAAAGAATTATATTTTTGGTAGTTTTAGGGCATTATGCATTTCGGGAAAAATTATGTTTATAATCTCTTTAGATTTTTTTCAAAAAGAAACTTAATTTTGTTTAGATATAATATTTATTGTTAAATTGAAAGAGAAAAAACATATTCTAGTGTGAATTCAATTTCCATAGCGCATTTAATGGTAGAAAGTTCGTTTATTATCATATAATACTTAAGCTAGTTCATAATTTATTAATATTCATTGATTACCTTTTTTGGTCATGTAAATAGTGCAGTCTTAGCTTCTTGGTAAATGTTTGGAACTATATTACTCATTCAATAAAGATCACTTACCTTTGCAAATACATTTTCAATATTGTAATCATCATTTCTTTTAGAGAAATAACTTTCTGCTGGTAGTGCTTTTAAATTGATTGAAAGTCAGTATCACCATCTCAAGTAGTAAAAAGTTTTACATTTAATATATATTAGCTATACCTGTGAACAAAAAGAGTGAATAGAACAGAGACAACAGGAATACTATATATCTGTATTATTCCACAGCTAACAACCTCGCATGAACGTAATGCTGAATTTGAAATACCACTCTTTTGGATGATATTCATAAATTCCTTAGATTTGTTTTGGAATAGAACGCCACATTTAAGACAGACACAATTGAAGAAAGCCTTTTCTCCAATTGATGAAACACTAAATGGAATACTGATTTGTTTCAAGCGTATGCATGATTCAAATGCGTGACGTCCAATACTTTTTACACTGCAATCGACAAATACAACAAATTCAATATAAATACAGTTTTTAAAAGCACTGTCTGCAACACTTTTAAGTCTTCGATCGAAGCTTATATAGTTGTCTTTACATGCAGGGGCATGCAAATAAACATGGCTGAAGTTTTTGTCATATATTGTACTGTTGTGACAAACAATATAATCGCTTGAAAAGTCACTGATAAATGAAAGTGATGTGCAACCTTCGAATATCTCTGGGAAGATTTTGTATAGATTGCATGTAAATGGAATATCAACCTGTTCAAGATTAATGCAATAGCTAAAGCACTGAGAATACAAAGATTCAACGCTCTCAGGTATGTTTATATGCGAAATGGATGTTCCGCTGAAGCATTCACTACCAATGGAGATGATATTCTTAGGAATATCAATTTCATTCAAATTTGTACATCCTTTTAAAAACATAGAAGGAAGATTATAGAATGAAGTAATGTTATCTTCAAATGTTATTATTTTGATCCCACTGTTCATAAAACAACCAGAATCAATATTTTTGAAATTCTTTAAAATATTGAACATAGAAAGAGAACTGCATCCAGCAAAGGCATTTATTCCAATATATATATCACAAGTACATCCTTCGAATGAAACAGATCTTAAAGAAGTGCATCCTGTGAATGCTGAATTCTTGATTGTCAAACTAGTAGAAGTTGATGAAAAAGAGATACTTGGTAATGTTGTAACTTTTTTGAATGCCAAAGGATGAAGAAGAGTGAAAGATGATGGAAATCTGAATTCTGAAGAAAGTCTCGTATTTGCAAACGCCTGTATTGCTATTTGCTTGAGTTTTGGAAAATATGGAATTGATATCAAACTATTGCAACCATTAAATGCGTTAGCTTCAATAAATTCTAATTCTGAGATACCATCACATGAAATCACCCTGATATTAATATTAGATGAAAACGCCCAATCTCTTATTATTTTAGTTTGGCTGGGAATAATGATTGAAGTTGCTGAAGGATCAAGTAATGATGAAATTGATGAGTTATCTTTAGACATCAATAACAATTGTTTATCAATCTTCAATGATGAATTTCCTTTAAACGTAATATTAATATCTGAATTTGGAGGAAAAGCTCCCCCTCCAATTGAAGTCATATTTCCTGGAAGAAGAATATTATTCAAATAAAAACATGCTTTAAATGCACCTACTTCAATTTTAGTAACATTCTCTGGTATATCAATTGATGTTATTGCTGAAAAATAAAATGTATAGCCTTCAATAATTGTTAATGTTGGAGGTAGTACGATTTGTTTAAGATTTCTCGTCTCATAAAAAGCAGAACCACCAATATATTTAACTGATGGAGGTATTGTTATCGAAGTACATTTTGCATTAACGAATGTTCCAAAATTAATATCAGTCACATTTGAATTAATTACATATGTAAATGTAGAATTTGGAGCAAAAGAAAATATTTTTGTATAATTTTTTGAGTAAACTGCACAATCATCACTTACAAAATATTTATTGTTTGGATGAACATGAATTGCTGTTAATGAAATAACTTTATATATAAATGCCCCGCTAATTGATTGCACAGACTCGGGAACTTCAAAATCTATTAAACTTGTATGTGAAAATACATCGGAAACAAGAGAGGTAAGTTTTGATCCTTCTTTGAAAGTAATTGATGTTAATGATTCGGCTTTTGTGAAGGCATTTTTTTTCAATTCAATAACAGTTGATGGTATTTGGACCGATCTGATTTTTATGTTTGAAAAGCTATACGATTCAATGCTTTTTAGTCCTTCTGGAAGGAAAAGTTCTGTAGCAGATGTGCAAAAGGAAAATGCTCTTACTTTAATAATCGATAGCTTTGTGCATGACATCAAATCAATTCTTTGCAATTTTGTGCAGTTATAAAATGCATATTTCCCAATAGTAGTAAGCTGTGAGTTAGATTCAAATTTGAAGGATTTTAATGTTTCTCTTGAATATAAAAAACAATAATCATTTTCATTATTTCCATAAATTTCAATACAACTTCTGGAAATAATGAGATCTGGATCAGGCATATTGACACTTTTGAGAAGTGTTCCTGAATTATAATAGAAATCTGATCGAATAAGTGTCATTTATACTTTGATGATTTAAGATTTTAAAGGTTCATTTTTATTACAAATAAAGCTTAATCTTAATTCATGGGAAGAGTGTGAGCTTCTTTGTTAAGAAACTCTCAATGTAATAATGGGAGTTTGATAAGTTGCAATAAATTATGTCACTTTTTAACAATTTGTATGATCGAGATAATAATACCAGAAATGAAACCAAGACGCAGATGCTTAATAAAGAAAATTAACAATTCTTATTCTGTCAAATCATTGTATTAAAATTAAGGTTATTTTCAAACTATTGGAATTGAGAAGATTATGTCATTTTCACAATAAATGCTTAAAGCTGTTGTTGGAACATACACAGATAATGGAAGCAAGGGTATTTATTCATTAAAAGTGAACCAGAATGACGGAAGCTTTTCCTTCCTTGAGACAGTTCAAGTTGATAATCCTTCCTACCTCATTTTGAATGAAAAGGACACAAGAGTTTACGCAGTCAGTGAGATGCACAACGAAAATGCAGCTCTTGTTGCTTTGGAATTTGAAAAGGAAGCCGGCAACTTTAAATTAATCAATTCTCACTTAACTCATGGCATGAAGGATTTGTCGTAACAGCAAACTATTCAAGCGGAAGTATTACTGTTTTTCCATTAGACCCTTATGGCGGAATTCAAGAAGCAAGCCAAGTTATAAAGTTTGAAGGAACTGGTCCGGATAAATCAAGACAGGAGATGTCGCATGCTCACCACGTCTACTTCACACCAGATAAGAAGTTCCTTCTTGTCAATGATTTGGGTGCTGACAAAATCCATAAGTTCAAAGTTAATTCTCAGGCTCCTTTCCTCTCAGAAACATATGAAGACATCAGTGTTGAGCCAGAATCAGGACCTCGCCACTCAGCTTTCACAAAAGATGGAAAATTCATGTACTTGATCAATGAACTTAACGGCCAAGTATACGGATTTTCTAATAACAACAGTACATTTACCAAATTCCAAAGCATTGCTTGCGATGAAGTTGAAGCAAGAGGATCTGCTGATATTCACATTTCTCCAGACGGCAAATTCCTCTATGCAAGCAATAGATTGAAGCGTGATGGAATTTCTATTTACAGAATTAATGCCGAAAATGGACATCTTGAAAAAGTCGGATATCAATTAACAGGAATTCATCCAAGAATGTTCGAAATCACTCCAAATGGAAAATACGTCTTTGTTTGCTGCAGAGATAGCGATGCAATCGAAATTTACCTCCGCAATCCTGAAACTGGATTGATTACAAAGCAAGACGAGATCAGAATACCTCATCCAGTTTGTATAAAGTTTGTTGAGTAAATATATCTATATTTTTTTAGATATATTTAATATCAATATTCTAATTATAAAATCTAATAAAGAATTTTATTTTACAACCAAACACATATCATGATTTCTTCATTATTTATTCTTATATCTTGATGATTCGAAATTTTTATTTTGAAAGTGAATTTTAATGCTGATTTTAAAAATATAGACTTTTTGTATTAAGTATTTCGTTTTTAAATATTTATTAGATTTGAATATTTAAAATATTTTATATCTAATTGTTTTTACAAGAATTATATCAATAAATAATAACTAGTAGTTCTTTTAATTGTGTCTTACTAATAACAAGATCAATTTCATTTAAAAATTCAAATGACCTTTTTATGTTTCCGAAATCCTTTCAATTTTTGATATAAATTAAAAGTTTACACGGAAATATTATAAATCAAAAGATTCGCTTGGAGTTTTACTAAAAATATATTTTTATTTCAAGAATCTATTTAGTGAATTTGTTAAATATCAATTTAGATTTGATTTTTAAATTGATGTTACCGGAAATATGGAATACTGTCACTTTTTAATAGAATGACGAAAGAAATAGCGATTTTTAACTATCCACCCGAGCTTGGAACTCCATCTAACTGGAAGATGTCTTTAATTTCACCCAAGTTTTTCGGTGTTTTGGATAATAGCAATGTTTTGAAGGTTTATTCCATAGAATCAAAAAATATCGTCTTCACATTAAATGATATTTCCGATTTTTGTTGGATTGAAAGTATTCACTTTAAGAGCCAATTACTATGCGTTATTTCTCAGTCCAAATTATTGATTTATACTTCAGAAGATAAATTGCCACAAATTGTCATATTTGATGCATCAACGCGCAAAGCTCCAATATCAATGAAAACAAATACAGACATCATGAACAAAATTATTGAATTTCCTTTATCCGAAAATGCCACAATAGCAACATCAATCGATGCAAACTCATTATTAATAGTTAATTCAAACCAACTCGAAAAGTACACTTTATACCTCGATGGTTTATATCTACAAGGTTCTTGCTCCTCTAATAATTGCACAAAATTTGCTTTTGATGGCGCAAACATTGCAGGTTTTTCGCAAGACACTGTTTCCATTTGGAACACCGCACTCGATGAATTCATTTTCTATAAGGTAGAATGTCAATATCTTTGTCCATTGAAACCAGGAGTTTTTGGAGCCATAAAAGACAACCAAATCACCATCATTGACAAGAAAAACGGTATCGGCGAGAAAATATCTATACCAGAAAACACTCATTTTTCAACTTACGTTCAAAATAATCAATTATTTAATATATCATCGAACTACTCCATCTGTTATCCTCGATTTGAGTGTCCAGTATTCGCAAACGACAATAAAATCATGATTATCGAGGACGAAGAACACCTTTGCCGCTTATTAGATGTCATATCTCAAAATTTCGCTTTACAATTCCTTATTGACTACGGCAAACAGAGCGAGCATAATGCGGAGCTTGTTGCTGTTGCAGCCTGCCAGCACGAAAGCAAGGAATTGGTCGATCAATTCACAAAAGATCTAAATATCTCATTATCACTATCATTTGTACAGAAACTGACCTCCATCATCGATACAGAGTTCAAACGCCAGTTCGCAATTACCATTTCCACTACAATTATCCGTTTAATTGCGAAATGCATAAATTCCGGTACGGAACTTTCCAACAAATTCGTTGCTCCTCTATGCACATTTCGATCCATTGTCCAATACCCCAAGCAGCCACCACAATACAAACGTCCTTCCCAAGGTATCGGAGATTCACCCCCGATTTCGGAAAAAGAACTGTTACCTTTTGTATTAGATGCATTGCAAAGGAACGCTATTACCTCAGCATTACCAACGTTAGCAGTTTCTTTCCCTGATTTCTCTCCTTTCCATCTTTTCAGGACGATTGTTTTGCAGCAATGTTGGTTATTAGTTTGCAGCGGAAGAATACAAGATACAACAGTTCTTATAGAGAAATTAGGCGAAAATCCTGGTCAACATCTTCATGAAATGTGGCGTCAAACGACACGTAACAAGACGCGTGCTGTTTTGCATGATTATCTACATAAACAAGGATTGTTGACACAAAAAGATGACGAAAACCATCAAATTTTGTTGAAAATAACAACAAAATATCCAAATACATCTTTCAAACTTGCAAGGAAACTTAACAACTCTCCTGCAATGAAAGCGTTGAATGATCCATCGAAATTACCAAGTTGGCAACCAATTGTTGATTTAACAACTGATTTCAATGAAAACAAAGCAATGGTTTTCCCAGAATTATTCAACATTCCTGAGGAAACACCCGTTGAATCTCCCAAATATTTCTTAGGAAACATTGCTTTGATTGAATCACAATCACCTGAAACAATAAAGATGTTGACAACTGATGGAATCTCTGTTGAAAGATTGTGGATTTTGCATTGCGAACATAGAGTTACTGAAATGGTAAATATGTTCAAGAAAGAATTGGAAAAAACTAAACCTGATCAAAAGAAGAATTTGATATCTGTCAAATTCATTAATACATATTATTCTCAAATGAATATGTATGAAATTGAAACATTACTTGACATTTTATGTCAAAATGGAGTTTTCGTTCAAAAAGAATTGGATGATTTCGATTTATTAGTTGTAAGAATATGTAAGAACAAGTTCTTGTTTGACCAGAGCTGGTGGTCGAACACGACAACACTTAACTTCACTGATTTCTTTAAGAGTTTCGCTGTTTATTGCGCAAAAAAGAATTTGTTTATGCCATTCGAAATGTTCATTGTTTCGCATCCGAAAGCGAAAGAAATTGACATGTCTGATATCGATGAACCATTGATTAAATTCATTTGGGATTTGTGGGTAAAGAGAGATCCTGCCGCAGCAAATCTTTCTTGCATGCAATTGATAGCTCATTCCAAATCAAATGATCCAATAGAATTATGGAAACATCTCCCATCTGATTCTTTGGCTCCTTTGGCTTCTTTCGTTTGGAATCGGGATCCTGAAAAGTTCAAACCTGGTTCTCCTGAAACAGAAGCACTCAGCCAGAGATTGAAAACAGATTATCCGCTGTTGTCTTCATTAGTTAAAGGAGAAATTCCTCATCCACCATCTCCACAAATGACTCCTCCTCAATCCCCATGGAGATCTCCAATTTTCACTTCAAAATTTGACTTGGAATTACATGATCTTTTGAAGGCACATTTTGATTACGATTTCTCCAAAGTTTTCACAGATTATTATGGAAAAACTCCTGGACAACCTCCTTTCCCACACTTCGACCACCCAGAACTCATCACTGCTCCTAGCGAACCTCCTTATGTTCATTACGTCAAATCGATGTTACCTGTTTCAGCTTTTCAACAAGCAATCGATGACGGAGTGACAGAACCTAAATTTAAGGAACTCTGTTTGCAGTGTATGAGAGAAGCCTTGCTTGACAGGAATATCAGGTTAGCAGCTTTAACATTCATAGAGTTAGTTGACTTGAAATTCAACACTGATTCAGCAACAGACTACAAATTATGCATTGCTATTTTTGATAATTTACAAAATGAAAACAACACAATTTTATTTGATGAATTATCAAAAGTTTTCGTTCAGCATTGCAAGACATCAGCGAAGAATATACAGAAGAAACTTATGGCTAACGAAATCGAATTATTCTTGCTTTCTAGTCTATTAGGCGTCCGATGTGGATTGAGTTTGGATTACACTCCAATCTCAAATTTTGCGAAAAAATCACGTCCTGCAGAACTACTTTTGTTCATTGACAGGGCGAGCGAAATCGGTGCACACTATCAAATAAACGAAGTCGTCAAGATAATAAGACAAGAGATGCCAGAAAATCCTCTCAAGGATCACTTGTTATTCCATTTGACACAATCACTACCAACTGAAGAAGGAACAAACAACGCAGATATTCCACCTGCCTTAGTCGTTTTCAGAGCTGTAAGAAGAACAGACAAACCACAATATATATCTTTATTGCAAGAATCAATCAATCATTCTAACCAACTATACGCGTTGTTAGCTACATCAATCGAAGGATCAAACCCTATGATATGTGCTTTGGTCGTATTGTTGACGATGACGAAAGATTTCACATTTGATGTAACACAAGAAATCGAACATGAAAAAATTGTTTCTCTCTTCATGCAAGTTATTTCAAACCTTTTGAGAAAAAGTGACAAAGTCAATAATGTCAAACAAAGTCTTGAATTATTTAGTGACAAATCTATTGTCTACTATTTGTCATCATTTAGTTATTCGGTCCAAAACTTTTTATTCCATCAGGCCGATCTCGTTTTAAGTGAAATCAACAAAGTTATCAAAGACCAAGATCCAGAAACTAATTATCAAGATGATTTAGTTGGTAACATCAAAATCAAAGACATCATCCAAGTTTGGCATCCATTATTAGATTACTTGGCAAAACTTTGTTCACAAAAGTCACAAGTTCACTTATTCCGATTTTTGCAACTTCTCAAAACAACAAATCCATCACCATTCCTTGCAGATCGTGTTTCTATGTCATGTGTCATTGAGAAATTCGAGAATTTCAGGAAAGCTATTTTCGAATGCGACTTACTTGGTAAACCAGAAGACATCGTGAAAAAGTTTGCATTAAATCATTCTCTTCAACTTGGACAAAGTGTTGCACAAGTTCTTGGTACTTCATCATCTAACGCGACACAAGAGTGGCTTAAACACCAGTATTCGACAGCAACAACACCAGCGCAAGTCCTTGATATCCATTCACAGATTGTTTCTTCTATCCAAGATGGCGATGAACTGTTTTTTGTTTCACTTTTCTCTGCTTTACTTCCATACGCACAACCCACAGAAGTTTACGATATCTTGAAGTTCAGCCGCAGTTTGTTCAAGCAAGAAAACAGTTTGACCAAATCTATTGACGCACTTTTGATCCATCTTGACATTTGCCACGATTTATCCATTGAAGTTCCTCGTGTGCAAGACGTCATGATGCCATTGAGTGAAACATTGGATTTACTTTTCCCACGTACAGATTTATCCAAAGTTCCTAAGAAGATCCAACTTGGCATTGCATTGCCTGTTTTATACGGTAACGGTGCATTGCAGCGCTTCTTTGATTCGTCGATTGACACTACTATTGATTATTGTCTTGACAACAGACGTGTTGATGATGCACGTCTTCTTTGTGAGTGGCGCAACAAATCACCTAAGTCTATTTTGTTGTTGGAGAGTGTTCAGAATTTGATTTCAGGTCAGAAGCTTAGCGAAGAAAGTTACCAGCATCTTTCGCAGTTCGGCAATGTCGATGACATCGAACAGCTTCTTGACAGCATCTCATCTAAAATGGGCCGGCGATTTGGTTTGATTTCTCTTCATTTCAAAGCATGCCGTCGACTTGGTTGGCCAACTAACGATTTGTTAAAGCGCAAGACTACAGATTTCATCGAATCCGAACTATCAGTCACAATCCAACAGTGGCCTATTGTTCGAAATCTGATTTCATTCAGTAAATTGACAGACGAAGAGACAGCGAATTCACTGTCTAAATCTTTCACTAACCATGTTATCGACCAACTAAGTTCTCATCCTAAACAGACACAAGGTCTTTTGAACGTCAAAGATTTCTCAGACAAATTCGAAGAATTCACGAAACTTTGTCAAAATCCAAGTTCTGTTGGTGATCATTTATTCCAACGGGCTAAAGAACTTCAAGGATCGCAACCAATCTCAGTCATTGTTAACTTGCTTTTGCACTCTAGTATGTGCACAAGTGACATTGATGAATGCGCAGAAATGCTTGACCACATCTTGGACAAGCTAGTTGAAGAGAAACAACTCAGTTTGATCATCAACATTGTCACTATTTTCAAAGACCCAGCATTGCTACCAAGGTATTTCCAGCACTTGATTGCTCAAGAAAAGCTCGATGCTTTGCCACATTCTACTCTGTCTAAGAAAGTCGGCCGAGTTATCATGAACTGTGCACGACACGTTCAACCATTCGAACCACAGAAGTACTTCGACTTGACACTGAACTATATGCTTTACCGAGATCACGCAGAACTTCGCATGGAATGCGGCTTGCGTCTTTTGCGAGGAAGTCCAGACAAGAACAAATTGCAAGAAGCGAGCAGCCACTTCTTGTTGGCACTTGCATATTTCTTGCATGAAAAATGCTATTCACTTTCTATGGAGTGCCTCAAGAAGCTTTCATTGATTTCTCTTCAGCTTGAAGTTCCAGATATGAACGTCCTCCATTTGGACGAATCACAAGTTCTCCATCTGATGAAGACGAAAGACTTCCCATTCGCACTCACAACAGCAGTCGCATACGACATGGACACAGAAGTCAACTGGGCAGAAGCTATTTTCACACAGAGCGTCCAGAATAAAGGAGAAGAGTTTCTTACAGCATTCCAGTACTTCAGACCTCTCACATCTAACCTATGCTCTCAGGTTGTCAAGATGTACAAAGAATCTAACTCAGACGAAGAGATGAATAAGCGTATGAAGAGTTTCTTGAAGAATATCCCTAACTTGGTTGAGCGTTACCGAATCGCTAAAGAACTTCAGTTCCAGGACCAACTTGATAACATGAAAGAGCAAAACCCTGTTGTTTGTGAATGGTGTGAACGTGTTCTTATTGATGGTAAATAATAAATAAAGTTTATTTAATTAAATCAGCATATATGTTTATTTGACTAATTTTTGTATTAATTGTGATAAACTCTACCTGAAAAATCAAAACCATCAAGATACAAATAATCGCGATTGTCACTGTTTTTGCCTGTTTGAATTAATTTGAATGATATAAATTTATCTTTTGTATTAAGTGAATATTTTCGTATTTCGCCACTGTTAAGTTTTGAATTATTTATTTCATGAATAACATTTGTTTCTCCATTAATAGTAGTACCTTCAACTCTCCATGTCTGAAGCTCGTCTTGAATAAATTTTTAGGGAATGTTCGAACAATATATTCAGTAGGTTGAATTGAATAGTTTTGCTTTAATTTCCACTCAACCCATGAATTAGGAATATTCTGAGTTCCAAAATAACTATCTTCTCTATATTTATTAATTAAATCAATGGTTCCATTGTCTATAGATGAAGCAGACATTTCAACATTTCCGCTTCCGAAATAATTAGTTTCAATAGGAATATTTTTAGTTCTATCCTTTGATTTAGGATTTCTTGAGCGGATTAATGAATCTGAGAGTGAGTTGACAATAAATTGATAATTGTTTAGATTAGTTAAATCTTTGATTGTTTTGATTATGTTTTCGCTGCAAAATTCAAAATGAATGTTTTCAATCAATGGATAGAAATTGTTGTTGTATTGTGTTAGAGAAATAATGAAATTTGCTAATGAATCTTCACTTTCGACTTCAAGTTTGCCACTGCTAAATATTTGTTGAAGAATGTCAATACCAAGTTTTTCGGATAGAGTTTTAAGTTGATTAGAATTAATTTCATAAAAATGTGATGATATGAATTGATAACATTCATTGATTTTATCATTTGAACAAAAATCCAAATAAAATTCAAGTAATTGAAAACAATTGTTTTTGTCGATTTTCATGTTGTCAATAATATTTGTTTTATAGAAATTGATCAGTTCTTGGCTTTCAAGAGATATTCCAATATGGAAAAGATCTTTCAAAACAGTCTCGTCACATTCGAATTCTGTTTTATTGTATTGAAGAATATCTTTTAATACATTATATGTATTTGGTGATGTGATATCTGTTTGTATATCAATTTTGTTAATATCGTTGTCTAAAAGATATTGTGAATAAAACGTTTGTGAAATTGCAACTGCAAATGATTTGTAAGTGAAATTTCAACATTATTGATTGTCAATATAACTTTATCAAGCGATTGATAGTTATTTATTCTCTGAAGAAATTGATTATTGAGTTGGATTAAAACCTTTTTTTTGATATAAAAAAATGACGGATTTTTTATAAATGAAAATTTGGATGTTCAAGGTTAATTTTCGAACTATTTTATAAAATGAAGCGGATTTCAATTTTCGAACTATTTTGTTAAAATGAAGCGGATTTCAATTTTCGAACTATTTTGTTAAAATTCGGATGTTCAAGGATAATTTTCAATGGCGCTTCACGCTGGTTGTCAAAAATTTGAATTAAAGTCAGATGGGCGTAAGTGCAGCCTTAAAGGCACTTTTTCGTTTTTTATCATATGAAACTTTATACAATACTTATCATAAATTAGTTTACAAGATATACTTGAATTGCGTCATACTTACAAATTGAAGTTTATTATATTTTACTTATGAAATGTTGATGATTAATATCATTTGTTTATATTTATATTAGATATATTAAGTAATATATGATTAAGTATTCATTGTATAATGAAAGTCATTATGATGCTAAGTTGAAAGTCACAGAAATACGAAATAAGTATATCTTCGAATATCCTTGCGAAAACAACCATGATTGTACAGACTACGTCATCACATTTTCACCAGGTGTATACAAATTTGAGTTGTATGGTGCATCTGGTGGAAGTTCAACTGGTCATGTATCATCATATCGGTATCCAAATGGTTCATGTATTGAAGACAAAATTGTTGAATCTGTTAAAGGTAATGTTAAATGTCTTCGACAGCCTAGTCTTGGTGGTGCAGGTGCATACATCAGTGGCACCATATATTTATCTAATGAAACTATCGCATATGCCACAATTGGAGGTCGAGGAATTTATAAATTGAAGAGCTTTAAAAATGTTACTGAATGTTATGCAAAAGAAAACATGACTGAAGGAGGTTATGGAGGTGGAGGATATGCTGCAAATTATATTAGTTTAGCAAGTTCAGGAGGTGGTCAAACCGCTGTCAAATTTGTCAAAAACGATCTTTGGCATCGGGTCATTGTGAGCGGTGCTGGAGGTGGTTCTGATAACGGAGATGGTACATTTCTTGGAGCTGATGATGGTGCAGGTGGTTCAGGAGGTTTAGAAGGACAAGGATGGCTTGCAAATGGAGTTTACAACTCAACATATTTAGCAAATTTGACATTTGGATTCAGTTTTGGTTCAGGGGAATCAGCCCAAGAAACAAAATCATTGAATCCTCAAGGAGTTCAATCAAATTATGTGAGTGGGGAACATTCTGGTGCAGGATCAGGTTGGTTTGGTGGCTTTGCAAGTCATCATGCAAATGGAGGTTCGGGTGGAGGAAGTTCATGGATTTTGTCTAGAGATGCTATTATTCCAGAGAATGAACTTGTTTCATATGATAGTTTTTATGATTTTCTTGGAACATCTAAATATGCATTCACGAAGGCAGACTATATATTTAACAATGTCATTGATGCATCGGGTGTTTGGGAAGGTAATGGTAAACTTGTCATTACTATTCTTAATTTCATTAACTGTCCAACAGTTTGTGTTTGTTATCGACAAAATTTCATTAGCAGCATTTATGTTTTTATTTTAATGTATGATAGCTAAAATTTTATTTTAGATCTAATCATTATTTCAAAAAGTAATAAGTTAAATTACATCGAAATTTGTGTTTGATAGCTGAAAATATTGAGTCCGTGTCAAATTTGCCTATCATCTTTCCAAAATTTCGAATTTCCGTCCAATCCCAGTACCGGAAATTAGTGAAAAATTTTAAGTATTTCTGATAAGTTGAACAATGCATGAAAATTTGTTATGGATAGATTATGACTATGTCATTGCTTTTGAAAACTGAGATATTTTTTAAAGGTAGGTTCACAAAAAATATGTTATTTCGCAAGGGGAAAAAATTCTCATGAACAACTTCAAGCGGATTTATTTTTTATGCACAAACACTTTAAATCAGATTATGAATAGTTCGATATCACATAAAAAAAGCGTGTGCAAACTATTCATATTTATTTCTACAACGCTTATATCTTTTCAGAATTTGAAGTTATGTACAATACTCGAAAACACATCACCTCACATTCGGGACGCTTAACTTTTTGATGATGTGATTAAAAATTTGAGGGAGCAATTATATTCATAATTTTTATTTTTTAATTTTATATCGCAAGATTGAATTAGAAAGTCAATGAATTTTCATACCGAGTATTAAATTCTTCTGGGAAGGCCGAAGTAAATGTGATCAAGACATTTACAAGCAATGAAACATTTTTATTTGAATTTCCTTGTCAAACAAATTATCTATGCGAGCCATACTTATTGCATTTCCCACGAGGTTACTACAAAATTGAACTATGGGGTTCATCTGGAGGATTAGCAAGACTATCTAACTCAAAAGATATCCGACCAGATTCTGGTGGTCATGGTTCATATGTATCCGGGAATCTAGCACTCAAGAAATCGTATGATATGTACCTCTTCCTTGGAGGTAAGGGAGAAGATCAGCTGAACTATACCTATACCACCATACCTACAAAATGCGGTTGGAATTTTGGAGGAAATGGTGGGATTGATTTGTTTCATGATACTGGGAACTCTGCTCCACCAGATGGTGGTGCATGTGGAGGTGGTGCAACAGATATAAGGTTGCGATATTATGATATAAATCACGCAAATTTCAATGATTATACTCTTAATAAATCAATTGAAAGTAGAATAATCGTTGCGGGTTCTGGAGGTGGAGGAAACTCTGGAGACTGGCATCGATATGGAGAACTAGATGGATTTGCAGGAGGAGATATTACCGCCGTGGATAACCTTCCATATACACATGGGGGAACTCAAATAAGCGGAATATTAGGTATCGGAATGGATGGAATTACATCATCAGAAAATCAAGGGGGAACTGGAGGTTGCGGCAGCGGTTATCGAGGTGGATATCAAAATTTTCCAGATCTTAAAGTCGATGGCATATTTCATGTTGGTGGTACTGGTGGAAGTTCGTATATAAGTGGTCATCCAGGTTGTGTGAGTCCAAGCGCATCTGAAAACACACCAATTGAACTTAGATCGATCCATGGATCAGGGATAATGTTCACTAACACACAAATGATCAGCGGAAAAGATCTCATGCCAAGTCCATTCAACAACACATTCATACGTGGTAATGTGGGAAATGGATATTGCCGCATCACAGTTCTTTATATATCACCAGTAGAAACATGTACATTATATCAATATTTTAATTTTTTTATTAATTTCGAAATTTTCATTACTTTCTCAGGATAATAAAGATAATATGAAACCTCTATTAATTAAGTTTATTTTTCATTTAGTCTAAGTGCTTGCAGCCCGTGGCTTAAATGAATGTCTTTGAAGTGCAATGAATGTACAATCAGACATCATAAATTGGGCTGTATATTAGTGGAAAAAAGTAAAAAAGACGATCGAAAAATTCTCAATTTCCAACTTTTTTTGTACAAATTAATTCAAATTTTTGACAACTTAAACATTTGAATTGAAGGCCCTGTCATAGGGGTGTATGTGCACCCTTAATTAGCATATAAATTAAAATTTATATGGACTTATTTAAATATCAAAGTGCTTTTAACAAATAATCCTATTTTACTAACATATTACGTTAATAATTTGGATATTAGCTAATGTCAAAAAGTACAACCTTAAAAAATTTAAATATATAAATATTTATTTATTCTTCAATAAGTTCTAAATCTAATCTAGATCTACCATGCATGTTAATAGGTGTTACATTAACTCTTACTCTAACTTTATCGAAAATACAAATTCTCTTTCCATCCTTCTCGAGAGATTCTTCTGTTTCGTTGTAAATCCATTTTTCTCCATCGACATGAACGTGTCCTTCGACACCGTATTGTTCAAGCAAAATCACGAACACTGTTGGCTTGATCTTAATAACCTTTCCTTCCTCGATCTTTCCAGGTGTTCTCCTAAGCATTTCCATGATGAACAGCTGAGAAGAACTTCTTCCTGCGTCTTGAGCCATTTTGTGTCTGAAATTCAAATTTTCTGCAACAGCCTGCATCATTAACTTGCTTGCCAACATATCTGTGGCTTTGTCGTATCCGATTGCTGCTGCCAATTGTCTGTGGACAATAAGATCTGCATATCTTCTAATAGGTGAAGTGAAGTGAGTGTAAATTGGCATGGCCAAACCGTAGTGTCTGAAATTTTCATAACTTTGTGTTCCAGCAGCGAAATATTTGGCGAACTGCATGCATCTTGTTGTCATTATTCTCACGATATTGTCCAAGTCTTTGACTTTCTCTCCGACACCATCGAGAGTCTCAACCAATGACTTATTCGTGTCTGGATTCAATTGAACTCCGAATCTCTTCAAAGCTCTGTTTAAGAAATCAAATCTCGCGGCAATTGGAGATTCGTGTCTTCTCAACATGGCGGATTGTTTGAATGTTTCGTAGATCTTCTTCGCGACTTCGATGTTTGCGTACAACATGAACTCTTCGACAAGGGAGTTGACCTCTAAATGTTGGTATAATTCTCCACTCAATGGTTCAGCTGTTTCTGAATCTAAAGTGAAGTGAAGTTGAGGAGAAGACAAAGTCAAAGCTCCATCATCCATTCTCTTTTTGTTCATGATCTTTGAGAGTGCCAATAGTCCTCTTATTCCCTTTGCGAGTTCGCTTTGGTCGTTCTGGTCTTCCACGATCTCCTGAGCTCTTCCGTAACTCAATGCCGCTCTTGATTTGATGATGGATTTTCCAAATTTGACATCGATTGTTTCCGCTGTCTTTTTGTTCATAATTGCGACAACAGAAAATGCCAATCTCTCGATTCCTCCTCTAATTGAGCACAAATCTTCAGACAAAAGAGAAGGAAGCATGTGGATTCTCTTCTCAACCAAGTAAACTGTTGTTCCTCTGTCTCTGGCTTCCAAATCAATCGCAGTTCCTTCCCTGACAAAAAATGACACATCAGCGATATGAACACCGATTTCGCATGTTTCTTCATCGATGTCTTTGTAATGTAATGCATCATCGATATCTGTACATCCCGGAGGATCGATGGAACAAACGCATCTGTCCCTCAAGTCCATTCTTCGCTTGACTTCTTCTGGTGTTGGCTGGAAATCTTTTGGTGGCAAACAGTTCAAAACTGCGTCACTGAATGCGTCATGTGGAATTTCGTTGGTCATGAGAATCACTTCACTTTCGGCTTGTAAATTTCCTGCCTGACCAATTGTTGAAATGTAATGGCCACTAGGATATTTGGAATTGATTGCCCATGAGTCAATTGCAACGTGTACACGCATTCCTATCAATTCTTGGACTTGGCGGGACCGGATCCTGATCTTTGGAAGGTTTTCTTGCTGTGGAACAACAAGTAATGACTGCCAATCGTTTGTTTGGACTTTTGGAGGTAAAACAGTGCCACAAATCACTCTTGACTTCCTGGAGAGAATGGAAACGACTTTTCCTGTCGGATAACCACCTACCCATTGAGATTCTGGGTTGGTGATCACGGCAATCTTGTCGCCATCAAGTGCTCTGTTGACGGATTTCGCATCATTTAATAATATTGTTTCTTTGTCGTTTCTGAGCTCGCCTTGGTCATGCTGACGTTGCATGGCACTGAAATAGCCAATTGTAACTTTGCCTTCCTTGTAAAGTTTTTGGACTTCGATACTTGGAAGATAATCATCGTAAATAGGGGCTTGGCTTGCTGCAAAGACATCTTCTGTAGTAAGACGTGAAGCAAGAGATTCATCATCTTTGGCAAATTCGTGAATATCCATGATTTGGAAGTCTAAATTGTTATATTGTTTAAATCTGTCTAAATCTTTAGTAAAGTTGGTAATAAATTTGACTGGAAAGCGTTTTTGAAGATAATTAAGTGCATTGATAATGTTTGCGTCATGATTTTGTTGAATTGTTTGATCTTCAGATTGTTCTACGTATGTTTCGAGAAGATGCTCGTTTGCAAAGAGCATAAAATGCTTCTCTGGTGTTGATAATAGTTTGTCTAAGTTTTTCTGTATGGATTTTGATTTTTGTCTTACCATTTCATAAACTGTTTGAAGAATGACAACATTTGTGAATGCTTGATGCTGGAGAGCATCAATCTGATTCAAAATTGTCTCAGAATCAATTGCTAGTACGAATTTTGCATCTTCAGTTGTAAATGGATTTTCTGAAGCGCCTGGAAGACGGCAATCAATGTCATTTCGCAAATAGTGCTCTCTAACGAGTCTAACTACATTGCCTCTTCTGGTTGATAATAATTGTACTTTGTGTGTTCTCATGATTTATTTTTTTAGAAAAAAAAATTCTTGTAAATTTTTGCCCTCCTAAGTCATGAGCAATTTTTTTATTTTGGCAAAATATGGTCAGAACTAAGGATGTCAATTTGGAAGAAAAGTGAGAAAATTCCTAAAATGCTAAAAATGAATTTTCCAAACGTACTTTTTTATCTCATTTTTTTGATTTTGAAAAAAATTTGGAGAGAAGAACTCTTCGCTTTTGAATTTTGTCACGATGGTTTTAAAGTATATTAGACACATGTATTGATATTACTATTTTTGTATATTTTGAGAGAAAATCCCTAAAAAGTGAGAAAATCTGAGACGGTTTGAGAAAATATATAAACTATTGAAAATTTGAATTAAACTTCTAATTTGGAAAAAAGAAATTTGGAAAGAAGAAAATTCAAAAATCGAGATTTAGACTCAGTATCAAATGGAGAACAAAATGTTTCTTCATATGAAGGAAAAAATTTTCTTGAGAAGAAATAGAGTTTTTAAAATTTTATTGTATGTAATGAAATAAACAAATATTAAAATTATTTTTTGATAACAAGAAAATTCCCAACAGAAAATATTTGAGACAAAGAAAAAAGAAAATTGAAAAATATTACTCTCCTTTACATTTCATGAGATTTTCAATTTATTTTCATAAAATTGACAATTTTATACGTTTAGATGAAAATAAATGATTTTGCTTGAAATAAAAATTATTGTTTGTTTACAGCTATCAAATAGATTTTTGCTATTTTGATTAAAATTTGTTAATCAAATTAATAATTTTTTTTCTAAATATCTTAAATATCTGGATCACTCACTGATACGATGAATTAAACGATAAAAATAATACAAACTCAACTAAGTTTCCTGTCTTTCAACCAAAAAATATTATGCAATTTAAATTAAATTGTTTATTCAAAGATAAAACAAAGATAAAGTAATTATAATTATCATATACTTTATGAATAACTCTCTAATTGGATAAGATTTTCGTACAAATATTTTTATTAATATCGATAAGAATATGTTTACCTACTATCACCATATGTCGATAAACGAGAGTAGAGTGATTTTTATCATCGAAACTTTTTAAAAGCTGTAAGCAGGAAGTAATAATCTTGTTTTTTCTGAGTTAGTTGTAGAACTATTGATGCCCGAGTTATCATTGTGATGCAGAAGGATATCAATGTACTGACTGAAGGATATGAATTGAATTGAATTTTATTGAATTTCAATTTGATCAAATTTGTTGAAATGATATGAATGTCAACTTCTGTATCATTCTCCTTCACTCCCTCCTTATTCTTTCGAGAACGAAGCTAGCTCAGCTTTCGCTGAGCGAATTGACATTTTTCATGCCCTAAACGTACATACTCTCAAATTTATCGAAAAAATTAATACCACCTAAACTAGTATATTCTTATTTTAAATATGATATTATCCTTATATTCCACACTAAAATTCATTTAAATCAACTTTTAAAAAAGTTCGAATCCTGCGCGTCTCACTTTTTAAATTTTCCAAATGGAAAATTATATTCTCCTAAAGTGAAAACAATTTTCCAAATTGACTTCCTTAACAGAACTGAATATGTCAATCTTTATAGCATACTAATTTATGTTTTACGAAGTTTGACTAGGAAAAATTTCGACCAAATTTCGTTCTTGAAGGCGAATTGCAAATGTTTAGTTTGACCATGCCTATAGTTGCAATATTTCTATACGTGCTACCTTAATTAGAAGAATGGGAGAAATATTACATTAAATATAGTAATATGGCATATATAATTATTCCAAAGATTAATCCATATGTAATGGATTTTATCAATGATGATTAGACATATATATTAGCTTTGATATTAAAAAATTTGAGATTTTATAAAATATATAAAAACTTATGATATCATACTAAACATGATTTATTTTGACACAGTGATATATCATATGTAGATATGAAAAAACACATAAAATTGATAGATAATAATTTTAAAACAAACAATTTATACTATTGGAGAGATTAGTTCCTTCTCATAGCTTCAAGAAGCTTGAGCGTATTGGAAATTAAGAAATCTGAAGGAGATTCGTCGAAGAATTTCTTCAATTCTTTTTCTGTTGTTTCTATAAAGTTTGGAGCATCAACAATGTTGGGATAGAGCATGATCAATGCAGTAGCCATCAGATGTTGGAAGAATTCCATCGGATCTCCAAAAGCTAAAGCTGCAATCCAAATTGGGTATAATTTCTCAGGAGGAAGCACTTTAGTGTAGAGAGATGTGATCACTGTAACAGGGAATCTGAAATTCTGAAGTCCTGCCTTATCAATTAATGTATGTAACAAAGGATGATAAGTTATTAAGATATGGAGAGTTGTTTTGAGGACAGTTTCTGTGGATTTATCTTCAAGCATATCTACAATACCTGTTTTAGTTATCAATGCGAAGAAAATCCAGAAAATAATATGTTCACAGGAACAGAAGCCCAAATCTAGTGTTTGGTTGATGGCATGGAATAATTCAGCACAATCTATGGCTATTGAGTATAATTCTGAATTAAATGTCTCGAATTCATCTTTCATAATAAATAATGATGCCAAAATATTGAATACGGACTGTATCAATGGATGCCCTTTCTGGTAGTATGTCGTCAACGCATTTTCAAGGAGTTTAAATGAAATACGAAGAGAATTCATATGATTAAACTGAGTTGACGTAATTGTTGACCATTGATGCTTTAAAGCAGCGTAATCATTGGCTATAGACGTTGACCCACCTATAGAAACTTGATCAATGGCGTAGATCTTTGGATATGGAGATTCAATTATTAATGGTTTTGTAATATCAATTTGTTCCAGTAATTTGGATGTCTGTGATCCTTTAAATGAAAATCTATGCGCTCTTTTGGGAGAAGTCTCCGAATTAAGTGTATTTTTTTCTCCTTCGTATAGAGGGCCATCGAGGAGTAATAATAGTAGCATGATTGAACAGTATTCGATTGGTACATAAGATTTCGAAATCAAATCTAAGGTTTCGATATCAGTTGGTTCTTCAATTAATTTCAAGATACATTCTTCTTTGAATGGCAATAAGTTGGATTCTTTTTTCTTCGGATCCATTGGGAAATGGAGGAATTCCAACAAAGATTGGTGTGCGTAGAGATCATGAACACAACTTGTTAAAGAATTCCTCAGTGATGAGCGAGGTTGTATCCTAATTGGTTTAAATTGAGGACCGATTTCATATTGGGTCTCATTTCGGAGTTCAACACAATGATAAAATGAAATTGCTGTGAAAAATGTTTCCATATAAAACGGATTATTGAATTTAAGTGTGTATGACTTGCCTTCTTCATTTGAAAAGACAAATTCGCAGCTATCGATTTTTGGCTCTAAAATAGAAAAATTTTTGAACTCTATTATTATTATCTTTGCTTGATCAGTGAGTAAATCATATAAAACCTTTGGAATTTTGTGTGTGAATAAAAACTGTGAAAAAATGATACGTTTGTTTTCTGGAATAATTTCTAAAGGAATAAAGTTCAACATTCCCATACTATCTGATGCCTGAATATCTACAAAACCAGAAACTCCTTCATTCACTAATTGAATATATGGAATTGTAGATATCATTTCGAAAAAAAAAAGATTCTGACACTTTTGATAATCGAAATCTGAACTACCAATAAAGAGTGCGCCCAATTCAAATGGGAACTGTTTATCTCACTTGGACACCTCCTATAGCTGCATCAGCGTCAAAAATTTAGCCAATAACAATATTCTGAAGTTTCTATTCTCAAATTGTTGGATGTGTAATAATGTATTATAAATTAAAATCTGTGTACATAATTTCTATATATTTTCTTTCGTTTTCCTATTTGATTGTAAGATTTTGATAAATTTATTGATAACTTTTCTTATGTTATATATAAATTTCACTTCCAACTTCAATAGATGGTACCCCTAAAGTTTTCACAAAATATTGTAAATATAATGAACAAGAAATCAATTAATTATTTATTGAAGGATAGCATTAAAATATGATATTGAAACAGTATTGTATATTACTCAGTATGGCGTATGAAAATTTACACTAAGTGACAACGAATTTAATGTATTAATTACAAAATTGTGAAATTTTACACTCAGTGCCAAAAGCTTAATTATTTTTATTTATAATGTAATTCATCTTCGAATATATAAAAAAATAAGTGGAAAAAGAGAGATATCTAATATAGAAGCTTTATTTTATTGCACCATGTAAAATAAGAAGTTCGACCGTTTCTGTACTATTAGTGAGTGTGGCAAAATAAAGAGCCGTTCTTCCATTTTTATCTTTTTCATTGATATTTGCGCCATGTGAAATAAGAAGTTCACTTATTTCTTTTTTATTAAAATATGCTGCTCGATGAAGAGCTGTTCTTCCATATTCATTTTTCTCATTGATATTTGCACCATGCGAAAGAAGCAGTTCGATTGTTTCTTTACTATTATTGCATGCTGCGAAATGAAGAGCTGTTTCTCCATTATTATCTTTTTCATTGATATTTGCGCCATGTGAAATAAGAAGTTCGGCTATTTCTTTTCTATTATTATGTACTGCTTGATGAAGAGCTGTTTTTCCATCATTATTTTTTTCATTGATATTTGCGCCATGCGAAAGAAGTAGTTCGGCTGTTTCTTTACTATTATTACATGCAGCATTATGAAGAGCTGTTTCTCCATCATTATCTTTTTCATTGATATTTGCGCCATGTGAAATAAGAAGTTCGGCTATTTCTTTTCTATTATTATGTACTGCTTGATGAAGAGCTGTTTTTCCATAACTATTTTTTTCATTGATATTTGCACCATGTAAAAGAAGTAGTTCGGCTGTTTCTTTACTATAATTACTCGCTGCTTTATGAAGAGCGGTATTTCCACATTTATCTTTTTCATTGATATTTGCACCTTGTAATAAGAAATATTCGCAAAAAGATGGAATATTAAACATCGCTGAATTAATAAAGCAATTGTTAATATCATTAGTTTTATCGTAATAAACTAAAAATGATTCAAAATTATTAGAGAGTGCACAAATATAAAAAAAGATATTTATATTGTATTCATACATCAAAAATGTAACAAAATCAATGTTGTGTGAAATAATTGCAAATATCATACATTGATTATGTGGTTTTTGATATTTCAAACATTCATTCAGGATTTCTTGATTTCGGCCTAAAAATGAAAATTCTAGACATTTTTGAGTTATTTCTGAGTTGAATTTCGATCTTAATAGCTTGAAACAATCAACTGCTCCATGGTAACAACATAATTCAAGTAATGAATATCCTCCCAAAAAAGATGGATATAAACTGCTTTGAAATTTTTGATCTTTATCAAATCCATCTCTTTCCGTGAAGTATATGAATCTTTCAAGGTCATTATACATGATTGCTCTATAAATTAGGTCAGGTATGAGGGGCTTCCAGGGGCTGCGCCCCTTCTAGCCCTAAGAAATTTTGCCCAAGACCCAAGAGGAGGACCGAACCCCAGCCGACCAGCCGGTGACTTTTTTGTAGAGCACTCAAAATAGTATAACTTTGTCCGGACAAGTAAGGGTCTATCGTCGCTACAGGAAAAGTTACAGGCGTTCCAAGGAAGTATACTTTGAGAAGCCTTTTCTCCCTTATAGAATGAGATAGGACGGTTATTTTACAAAACTGACAACACTTTGACCGAGTAGTTTTTTGTGCTGAACAAAAAGTGTCATATAAACATCTGTCAAAAACCGCTTTTTAACTTCACTTAAAATGCCACGTAAGCTACGTAAGAATATACGTAAGAGGAAGGGAGCATTGAAACATCCAATAGTAAAACTGACACCACAACAACAGTTGCAACAACAAATGATGAATGACCCCACTATGTTGCAACAAATGTCAAGCAACCCTATGCTTTTAAACCGAGTTATTGGTGCACAGAGTGGAGGTTTAAGAGCGGCACTTTTAGCGAAAATGGCAGGCTATGGTGGAGCTGCAGACGGAACAGCTTATAACCCTCAAAGTCAAATGAATTTGAGTTCACTCAAAAATCAAATAACAGATGTCAAAAAGTCAAACATAGACATACAGAAACAAATAAGTGAAAACGAAAAGAAACTAGAATATGACAGACACACAAAGAAACTCAATGAGTTAAACGTAGAGAAAAAGAAGAAAGAAGAACAACTGAAAGAACTAAGTACAGAGGAATATGCGAAAAAAGTGTCAGAAAAAGCAGCAGAAGTAGCAAAAATGGAACAAGATGTTATAAATTTGAAAAACCATACTACTCAATATAAAGTACTGAAAGATGAAGAAATAAAACAAAAAGCCCTGAAGACATATATGGATAGCGATGAGTATAAAAAAGAAGTTGAAGCAAATGTAAAGGCAGAAAAACTTTTACAGTTGCAAAACCAAACCGTACAGTATGAAAACTTAGCACAAGAAAGTAAAAATAACGACGCAGCCATGCAAAAGGCAATGAAAAGCGCAGAATATATAAAAGCTAATAATGACTGGTTAGATGCCCAAGCCAACGCTAAAGCAGCCCAACTTATAGGGTCAATAAGGACAAAAATACAAGCGGATGAAGACAGTTCAAATGAAGCTTTAATGAATGCTGACTTTAAGAACGCCTTCGAAGCTCTTCATAGTAAGGTGAAACTAGTGAACGACTTCTCATCTGGAAAGAAACTGAAGTCTGAAGGTTTCGACAAAGAGTTAAGAGAAGTAGCACAAAATATGACGAAAATAACAGATGCAGCAACGAGACAGGCAGTTCAAAGTGCCTATGACGCCGTTAGAGCAACTGTTGTGGAAAGTCAAGAAAAAGAGTTACAACAGACCAAAACAGACCTAGTAAATGCTTTCTTAAAAACGAAAAGTCAGGTAGGACATTATGCTGCAGATGGAACATATGTGCCAGCTGGTGGAACTTATATACCAGCTGGTGGAACTTATATACTAGCTAGTGGAACTTATATACCACCAAACCCTCCAAGAGAAGCACCTGCACCAGGACTACCTAAAACATTTACATCGTCACATGGACACAGACACAGGCATGCACCAAAACCAACACAACAACCAACACAACAACCAACACAACAACCAACAGTTCAAAACACTGCACCACAACCAACAGTTCAAAACACTGCACCACAACCAACAGTTCAAAACACTGCACCACAACCAACAGTTCAAAACACTGCACAGCAACAACCACAAACAGAGCAAGGACATAAAAGAAGTAGAGAACAAGGAAACCAAGAATTCTTAAAAATGCTTAAGGAAGATTATGGTTACCCAGATACTCTTGACTTTAGTGACAGATATAAAGAAGCTATTAGAAAGTTCAAGGAAGGAAATACTGACCCGAACCTATTTAGCTTTATGGTTCAGCACCAAATGGGATATAATTTCAAACCTGGAAAATACAAGCTCGCTAAGAGATATGATTTAATAGCATATCATCCAAATGACATGACTGAATTTACTCCGAGATATTTGGTGTCAGAGCTAAATGATAATTCAACTCTCTTCATGAAACGCGTAAAAAATAGAGACGGAACGAAAGAAGAAAGGTTTATGAGTCCGGATGACTTAGATAGGGAACTTTTTAAAAACGGTCTCGGAATATATGAAATGCCAGCAGATGAGGTACAAGAAACTCCACAGGAAGAAGTTCAGATACAACCAGACATGGAAGAAATAGTTCAGCAACAACAGCTAGAAGAGCCTGAAGGAAACGAACAAGTCCCTCCTTTGGAAACTAACTTCACAGAACTAGATGAAGATTTGGAACAGCCGAAAAATCTTGACCCTCAACAAGTGTATGCGGGGAATATGGAATCTTTCCAAGAGTCTAAGAAAAATTCGGCTGACATAGTAGAAGAATATCGAAAAATGTTCGCCGACATACAAAAGACTCCAACATCAGATGAAAATATTCAGCATAGAATGGAAGTACTGAAAGAAAATGTACGCAAATACAACAATCCTTTTTACTTACGACCATATAACGTTCAATCTTTGGCTGAACTCGGTGAAAATAAAAGGTTAAATTTCAACAAAACATATAGAAATGAAACATTGTTTAAAGTTCATTCAGAACCTAACCAATATGGAAACAAACCTACTTTTGTTTCTGCAGACTATGGAACTACAATGAGATGGGGTCATAAAGCTAATCCGGATAGGTGGTTCATAAACTTACAACCACAATTCCAAGAAGTTGTAGACGCAATGGAAGTGAATGGTGAACCAGATATAGCTGGTATTTTCAGCGCGGCTTTAATGCCATTGAAAGATATGAAAGATGCAGATATTTTGAACCAGTATGAAATGAACATGGCTGATGGAAATATAACACCTGACGTTCTAGAACATTTATCTCAAAGAACTACACAGAACCATAAAGATGGTATATTTGGTGAAGAGTTTAGAAAGAAAGTTAGGGAGAGAGAAGGAAGAGAACCTATTGTACATGACCTTGCAAACGAAAGTTTGCAAAATGTCATAAAAACTTACTTTGCAGACAATGAACTGAGAAGGGATGAATATTTAAGAAAACTCAAATGGACAGTACCAAATGAAATGTTAGTATTGAAAAACATGTTCCTTGACAAAATAAAACCAACTACAGAAATAAATGACGCAAGACTGAAACATTGGGTAAAAGCTTTCCCATTCACAAAAGATATTATTGGTAACATGGAAAGAAAACCAGAATGGCTACAAAAACATATATTTGGAAACGAGCTTATTCCATATGGACAAGCTCTGTTTGAAGAGCTTGAACCGGAAACTCAGGAAAGAGTCATGCAAACAATACGCGAAGACTCAAATACAAACTATGACAAAATCTTTCTAGGATATAGGTTACCTGAGATGGGCGACCAGAGCCCAAAGGCAAAAAGGACATGGGAAATTTACAACATACTAGGTGAACATGAGGCAAAGATGCAACAACTTGAAGCAGAGGGCAAGTTACCAAAAGCGACACCAAAGAAGAAGAGTAGAACAAAGTGAAAATAGTGAAGAAGTAACTTCATCTAGTGAAAGTAGTGGCAATGAAGGAAAAGAAGAGTTAAAAACTCAGTCAGGAAGAAAGTAAAGCTTGGTCCGAGTGGGTTCTATTATGACACATAAATCCAACTATTCTATATTTTTACCCATATGAAATGTACGCCGCTCAGAATATAACGCCAACAGTTTGGATGCCATGAACGGAAATGTTTCCGAATGGTATAACGAATGCGACAATGCCATTAGAAGGTCAGAAATAGTTCCTGGAACTTACGAATATACAACTGCTGTTTCTTATGGAAACGTAGGTGAGTTTGGAGAAGGTTCTTCAACAACAGTAGATATTGCTTGCGACAGGTTTCATATTATTTCTATTGACAACTCATTCTTATACGTGGAACAAGACATTGAAATAAAACCTTCTGCCAAGTTGTCTGACAAGAAAGGTTGCAATGGAATTTTCTATGTCGGATACCAATATGCTCCAGAAGTTTTCATGGGATATAAGATATATTCTAACTCTGACTTAGTTCAAAACAGTAACATGGGCAAACTATGAATGGTTCGCTTTGAGAAACTCAGTACAACCACAAGCTAGAGAACAAACAGACCAGTATGCAAATATTGAGAAAATAAGAAGACTTGACCCTAACGTTCCAGGAGTTTATGTTAACCTTTCTGGTTCAGATGGAACTGCTGCCACTAAAGTAAAACTGAAACTTAGAGTTCCTTTGTCATCTTTCCTCATCTTCAGGTTTTTAAGATACTTGCCAAACTGGGCAGGAAAAATTTCTATCGAACTTACTCCAAGCAAAAATAACTTAGTCATTGCACCAACACAAGACCCATTCACTATTACAGACGTAAAGGGAACAAATCAAACGTCATTCGCCGAATTTTGCAAAGACAAAGTTGACTTAGACTTTGGTTTCTCAAACTTCAACAATGAAGTAAACTATTATTTCAATGCTGCTGGAACTGCTTGGGACCCAGTTAAGTTTACATGCGAAAAATTTGAATGCAAGAGAATAGAAAGCAGACTTGCAGTCTATATGTTGGACCCAGATATTTCAAATGCTTTAGCTGCCAAATATATTGCAGTTCCACTTATGTTCCCTATACACCAAATATCTGTCAAAGACTTTGCAGGTGAAGTTGGAAACCAAAATCCAGGAGCCGCAGGTGCAAGAACAGATATTGCTTTAACAACTGCAATGAAACATGCAGATACTATGTTTGTACTGTTCAGACGAACTATAAATGACTATTCTTGTTTCTACAACCCCGGTATTAAATATCATATAAACATAGATGGCAAATATTATCCAAGAGAAGAATATTCTACAGTTGAGGATATGAGGTCATACAACTTGACATTAGATGCTATGAACTTTAACAACAACTTCACAACAACCATTAACCCTGAAATGCAAAGTTCTATTATGCCATATGTGAAAGTATGGACTCATACAGGAGGTCAAAAAACTCAATATACAAATGGAGACCGTTCAAACTTTTGGCTTGGCATTCCATTTGCTGACTCAGAAGACTTTATGGGTGGTATTTCAACTGTTGGTACTGTACAAATACAATATACTGGTGACAGAGACGGTCCAGATGAATTGAAAGCAAAGAAGTTTACAAAACCAATAGCACTTTTCACGGAAGATGCTCTTTTGAAGATTCGTTCGATGAAACCTGCTGGGGCTCCTCAGATTGGCATAACGACAGCTTCCATCGAGCAGATTTTGGCAGCAGGTCAGTAAGTTGTTCTTGAACTGACTTCTCTCCGTCAAATATTGACAGTACGCCAGTTTTGACATAATATTGTATTATAAACTTTCCTTTAGAAATATCTGTAAGTTTTGAAGTTATATTTTTGTCTGCTTCAAGAACTTTCACCATTTCAGTTATACCAACTTTCTTTGCTTTATGAAAATATTTTGGTTCAGCAAAGACTGCTATTCTATAACATTTACCATTGTTTGTATAAAGAACTATTCTGTCAATGTATTTGTATTGTTTGTGTGTGTAAACTTTGTTCTGCTTCAATTCGAAGAGATACTCGAATACGTCCATCTTTTTATTCTAAGTAAAATGTCATTTCCGAAAAATAGAAGCGTAAGTGTTTCAAAAGGTTTAATGGCGGTGGCAGATGTGAAGTTAAATTCACCAACTCAAACAAACAGTCAAAGTGTTATTGTCAATGTCAAAGACAGAGATGTTGAAGTGGGGAAACCATACGAGGACGAAGATGGTATAACAATTGTTCCTGTAAAAGAACAACCAACATATCCTGAAGTTAGCAGAGACTTAAGTTCTGTTGCAGATATTCGAAACGACTACCAACAACTGAAAGACAAACTTCAAACTCAGGAGAAGATTTGTCAAGCTTTAAGTATAATGTTAAACTTGGTCGAACACAACCCTGTAAAAGTGAACTCATATGTCATTGCACCTCATGAAGTTTTGAAAGAACTATTGAAACTTTTGACAGAGGCAGACGATATAAACATCAAAGAAATAGAACCCGACATTAGTTGCTGTGGTGTTTCATATAATGTCATTGACAAGATATACGTTATGAAAGGAGGTGAAACGTTGAACTTAAAGTATAGTTTCCCAGACGTCATAAAAATATTTGACGACCACAACATTTCATTAAAATTTATTTGCTAAGTAAAAATGTCAAAACTTCTTGAAAGATGTTTGAAGAAAAATAATATAGACTTTATTTCATGTAAAGGACTTTACACACTTTTGAACGATATGAAAGACCCTGTTTTGTTTGTTCGTGTAGACAAAGGAAAGTTCTATGTCTTTACAAAATATTTGAACTTCTTAGACAGAGAACTTCAAGAAACGCCATGTGAAAGTTTAGATGAAGTTCTTCTCCACTTTCAGAAAAACTTTTAAATATATATAAATGCAGAAGATATAATGGTTTATACTATTACGACTAAAAACCCTGAGTCATATAATTCTATAACAACAAACTTACAAAGTCCTCAAGGACGATATTGTAAACTAACCTTAAACACAATGACGACTAAAGCCTGTTTTGCTCTTTTGACACCAGAAGACTTTTATTGTTGTGAATGGTAAAAAATACTCCTTTGAAATACTTACTCAGATATACCACCAACAGTTTTGTTGACTTATTTAAATACTTTAAGTACGGGTGTAACATGTGCTGCAACTAGAGCAGGTTTCATTATGTTTGGATGTCCGACTGAGTTTACTATAAACGATATGAGCTATAATACAAAACTATTTCTGGTTTTACTACCAACAGTTTCCTATAACAGGAAAAGGTGTCATACAAGGAATGTCTATTCCATTGACATTAAGCACACCAATCTTATATATTGTTTCAAACTTAGGTTCAAAGTGTTATTCGAATGTCACAGAAACTATTATGACCAAAAGATACTTATG